TCCTGAGGGAAGGGGAGGGAGCTGCCCGGGACCCGGTGAGGCCGCACCAACAAGCCGTAGGGATCGGAGCCGCTGCGGTGTGAACCCAGTGCCCGAGATCCCAGTGGACAAGCTTGGTGCTGAGTCAATTAACGAAGGATCCAACGACCTCCAACCGGAGCCAAGGATGATGAACTGACAGAGGGGTGCACAGTCTTGTTTTCTAAACCTCTTTTTCAAGCCCTGTGCAGTGTATGCTTTGTATCCTAAATTCCATAAATCCGTTTACTTCTCTCCATCCCTTCCATTTGACCTTGAGATTGGGAGCTTGAGAGGATTAATGGGGAGGCATGCCCCAACTCTGAAGCCCACCCAGGCCTTGGGGGTAGACAGGCGTCCATAAGCAGCACTCGTGGGTGTGTTCAATTTTGGGTACCATCCTGCGTTCACGAGCACCTGGGTGGTGACCAGGTGGGAGGGGTTCTTCGCCAAGTTCTCTGGCTTCTGGGACCACCTGGGCCTCTGGGACCTTGGGCTCCTGAGCTCCCTGTAGTCCTCTGGCCTCACTGCTCTGCTTCATCCTTTGTGTTCAGTTCTGCCAGCGCCTCCCGTTCATGTTCATACGCTCGCTTGCCCAGAAGCAGCCTCTGCTCACTTCCTGGGTTTCATACCACCCTCCCCACCCCTACACCTGCTCCCACATTTCAGCCAGGTGGCATTTCTAAAGCGAAGTCAGCCCCCACCGTGTTCCTTCTTCAAACCCTTCAGTGGTGCTGCCTTCCTTCGAGAGAAGGTTCCAGACACAGGGCTGAGAGCTCGGGCCTGCTCCCCAGGCCTGGGGACTTCGCCGCTGGGTCACATGCCCCTTGCCGCCACACACCCTGCCCCAGTTCTCTCCTCGTGGCTCTTGAGGGTTTGACTTAAGGCGCGTGTCCTCCGGGAAGCCCCTTGACATCCGGATCGGGTTAACTCCTCCTCTGAGCAGCTCCCAGCACATTTTACTTACCCCTCTGTAGCATTGGTCACTGGTCCACGGTCACCGATTGCTCTGTCTGCAGCCCCTGGGACTGGGGACCCAAACCACACCTTGAAAGTCCTTCCCCGGCTGTCTAGTGTGGCCCCAGGCTGGTGGCCTGGGCTTGTGATGGCCAGTAAGCTGCCGTGCCCTACAGCGAAATTCAGAGAGCGAAAGTCAGCGACTGGAAATTCTCCAACACTGATGTGGCTCCAACCCCAAGCACGGGAGTTTCTATTTTACAGAAGCGTCTGTCGTGATGGATTTGTCCTGCTGCACAGAAGACCGGCCTGAGGCGCCAGACCCCTGGGACCACCGCCTAGACAGGAACGGGCGGGCGGGGCTGGGCCTCCCGCGTGATGCTGGGGGGAGATGAACTCATGTTTGTCTATCACCACGGCGACCGTAGCTGTTTTGTAATTTTTGTTCATTTGATGACTTGACCTCTCTGGTGTTTTCTCTGGTGACTCCATGGTGGGCATTTGAGTGATGGGTATCTGTTATGCTCTGTGTTGCGTGTTCTTGGCAAGTGTCAGGGTTTGAGGATGAATTGTGTTGTCAGGCATCTGCTGATAGTATTTTGTGCCCACAGAGTTGGCTGTGCGCAGGTTCTGTACCAATTTAACGTTGCCCAGACATCCGTTGGTGCTCAGTTAGCCAGATTCCCAGAAGCAGGCCTGATGGGGATCACTTCCTGTTTCAGGAGCATCTTGCTTTCCTCGTGTCAGTCACCAGAGCATCCTAAGCCATGTAGGTGCCTCAGAGGTGGCCATTGTCCGGATTTGGAATTGCATTGAATTGCAAATTTATCTCCTTCCTAAATTCTAATCTAAGGTGGAGATTGTCCACAGTTGATCTGTCTTCGAGGTTGGCTGCCTGGTCTCCTCGTAAGGAATTTATTCCATAACTTGGTTCGATTGTGTGGTTCGTTTATCAACCCAAGCCCAGGTCCCTCAAATCGGGGCTGATTGGTTTTTAGTCTGTTGGTGCCATTGTACTCAAGGACAGGACAGATGTACTGCGCTGGATGAGAGGAGCAGAGGGGAGGGTCGGCTGTGACAGGAGCACTTTCCTGGGGGGAGGGAGGCCCCCAAGAGTAGGGGGTCTGATGGGACGTTATTTTGGAGGCCTGCCCATCTGGTGGGGAGGCCCTCCCAGGTGGCAAGGACTACCCGCTCACATAGGTGGTCTCTTCCAGGATCTTTGCTCCAATCCCAAGCAGAGCTGGACCACAGTAGGGTGGGGGCTTGATGGGCAGGCTGGGCAGGGGGTGACTCCCCTCTGGTCACAGAGACATTCACACTGTGAGAGCAGGAAGCCCTCAGACCTCACCTCCTTATATCTTAATTATCTGTTGCTGCATAACAAGTATCCACAAACTTAGCAGCTTCAAACAGCATCCATCTGTCATCTTAGTTTCTGTGGCTCAGAGTCAGGCCACAGCCTAGGTGGGTCCTCTGCTCAGGGTCTCACGAGGCTGCAGTCAAGGTGTCAGCCCAGCTTTGTGCTTTCCAGAGCTCAAGGTCCTCTTCCAAGGTCACACAGTTATGGGCAGAATTCAGCTCCTTGCTGTTGGAGGACTGCGGTCCCATTTTCCTGTGGGCCATCAGCCAGGTCTCAGCTCTTAGAGGCTGCCCACGTTCCTTGTCCTGTGGCCCATCACAGGCCCTCTCACACATGGCTGCTTGCTTTTTCAAGGCCAGCGGAGTCTCTCGGACTTCTAGACTCTCTTTTACAGGGCTCGCCTGATTAGGTCAGGCCCACCCAGAATAATCTATCTTTTGATTAATTCTAAGTCAACTGATGAGTGACCTTAATTATTTGTGCATTTCTCTTTGCCCTATAATGTAACCCAAGCATGGGAGTGACATCCATTCCACTCACAGTTCTGCCCACACACCAGGGGAAGGGATTATGGGAATCATGTACACCAGGGGCGGGACCTTGGGGACCACCCTAGAATTCCTCCTGCCACACTCTTCCCCCGTCTGCCCCTCTCGAAGCCCCTTCCTTCTTCCAACCCCTTTCCTCCTCCTTACATTCTCCTCCTCTCCTCCCCTTCTTCCTCCTCTGCGCCCTCCCTTCTCTTTTCCCAACCCCTCTTCCTGTCCCCCCCTCCAGGCTGATGGGTTTCAGCTGCCTGATCTTGGACACGAGGCCAGCAGGCATGGAGCCCATGCCGCCCCCAGGAAGGGCCTGGAGTCAGGCTGCGCTCGCTGGGAACGCCGTCCTCTTGCTGGCCGGTCGGGGCTGTAGGAACTCAGTGTGGGCGGGTGTCAGTTTAATGAACCTTCTCCCAGCCCCTCCCGCCCTCCCCTCCAGCTCTGCCAGATCTTTTTATAGACCCTGAGGGGCCCTTCACAGTGTAACATGGTTTAGAATGTTGAAAGTGGTAATGAGGTCTCAAAGTCCTGATTCACTTGTGATTTTTGATACCCTTGATCTGAGAGACCTGGGCTTGGGTGGATGAAGGAACCACGTGAACCAGCCAAGTTATAGAATAAATTCCTCGTGAGGACACCAGCCAGCCAACCTCTGACAGAGCAGCTCTGGTCGCTTTTCAACTTAGATTAGAATTGAGAAAGATGATGATTTTGTAATTCAGTGCAATACAGTCATGAGGGGGGAGGTGGACGTCCTTGATGCCAGGACCCACCGTCTAGACCTGAGGCTACGGGGCAGGGTGCCCACCCTTGGGGAGAAGCTGGACGACGGGACACTTGGCCACCTCACTACTGGCCCTACGACCACTCCACAAGCAGTCTGGCCATCTCTGATGGCTCTGTTTTAAGATGATTAGGGAGCAGTCTGAAAACCGTGTCTACAGAACTGTTGTTGGAAGAATTACAAGTATATTCCCCCAAAACATTAAGTGGAAAGAAGGTGGGATTTGTTGGACCCAGAAGACCTGAGTCTGGGTACACTGCACCATTGACCTCCCTGTGCTGTGGTCTGCCTGGAACAGTGAAAATCTGAGGTTTGTAAAATGTGGATCAGTGTTCAAGTGCCAGGTTGGACGGCATTGGTTGGCCCTGATCAGGCTTTTTAAATGTTCTGAAGTAGAATATAGCTAAGCAGCTACAGGTTGTCGGATGGTGAAATGGAGGCAAATTTGTTGTTGTTGTTTGGTGAGGAAGATTGTGACTGAGCTAACATCTCTGCCAATCTTCCTCTATTTTGTACCTGGGATGCCACCACAGCATGGCTTGATGAGCAGTGTGCAGGTCCACACCCAGGATCTGAACCCACGAACCCCAGGCCGCTGAAGCAGAGCATGCAAACAACCATTACACCATGGGGCTGGTCCCCAGTTTTTTTTTAATGTAACTCTTCTGACAGCTGGCACCGTTCCACCATGTCTTGAGAAAAGATGGGCTTCCCCACACTGTTGGAGGGGAAGCTGAGGCAGCAGGCTGTAGTGAGACGTGACTGGACAGGAATTCTGGAAAGCAGGGTCAGACCGCAGCCCCGCCCTCAGACGGATCTGACAGCCTCTAGGGGTCTCCACTTCCTGCTCTGTAAAGGGAGCGTTTGAACCATTGACCTGCAGTCGTGTCCAGCTCTAATGCTCTTGCTCCATGCATTAGTCTGTTGTAGCTCCAGATGAAGGCAGATTGCCCAGCCCTGCCACTGACTGGCTGTGTGACCTTGGGCAAGTTACTTACCCTCTCTGTGTCTTAGCTCCCTTATCTATAAACTGGAGATGGTAACAGTATCACCCTAATAGGGCTGTTGCAAGGAGTACATGGCATAATATATTAAAAACCTGTAGAATAGTGCGCACTTGGCATTTAGTAGGGGACTGATAAACAGGAGCAATCATTATTACTCTGACTATTCCCAGTGTCATTCCTGATGACCCTTTTAACTCTTGTGAGTCTGTGATGCCTTGCTGTGTCTTTATTAAATTCTGAACAGGATTGTCTTGCAACAGCATCGCTGTTGACTGTGTCCTTGACAGGAGCTGCTGGTCTGCCTCCTAATAAAATTTCCGGGTCTGTTTCAGGCGGAGGCCAGGCTGGCGGCGAAGCGTGCGGCCCGGGCCGAGGCTCGAGAGATCCGAATGAAGGAGCTGGAGCGGCAGCAGAAGGAGGTAACGCTCAGACTTCCCCGTCGGTCCTTTTCACAGACGGTTTTATTTTAGGTGGAGTGTGCACATGCAGGGCACCTGTCCGCTTGACGTTGCTCGGCACCGGAACACACTCATGCCCGGGACTCTTGTTCAAGGTCAGGCCAGGGAGTGCGCATAGCACGCATATCAGGCGTGCCTGTTCCAGACTCCACCTGTGGGGTCCCGAGGTGAAGCCCCTGCACACAGCCGCTCGCTGCACACATCTTCCCAGCCCAGCTTTCTGGCTCAAAGGAGCCGAGATGTGCTGGCTCAACTTCGAGGTCTAACTGTCGAGCAAGAATCCTGATCCTCTGAATTAAAACATGACAGAAGAACAGGTTATGATGCTCTAAAACTAACCAGATTATTTTGTTTAAAAATATTTCCCCTGCGGCTTTATGGTTTTTAACAGCTTTCATGATGCCTAAAGTCTGAATGTGACACAGAGACCAGAATACACGCCGCGGGTGAAATAGCCAGAGAAGAGATTGCCCCCCTGGGAAAATGGATAGTGCTGTGTTTACACACCTGTTAATGCTGTTTGCTACTTATTTTCATCGTCTTGAGCTGGAGCCAGAAGTCACGTGGACAGCATGAGGGCTCCTGAACTTGCTGTTAGAGCTGTGAGCTTTTCCATGACCTTGAAGTCTACATGGCAAATGCAGTGGGTCTCGATTCTCTGTTCTCCTGTGGGCCGTGCCCTGAGGGAGCGTCCGCACCAGACCCCACCGAAGGGCTGTTCTCATTCAGAAGATCTGAATTTAGTGTGTTGCAGAGATGTAGCCAGCTGCATCCCCCACCCCAGGGCTGATTTTCATACCCAGGGTCTTGTTTGGGTCACATGGCCACGTTTTAAAAGTCGAGCCAATGTTTTAAAACTTGTGAGATTTCAGCTAAAACTCTGGGTTTCCAATTTCTCTTAAAACCATTGCAGATTCCACTGCATTCCCTGTAGGGGGTGGCCTCTGGCCACCAGCCGGAGACACTCATTGTCATTTCCTGCCTGCAGAGTTTGTCACTCGGCATGGAAATGTCTGAGAGGGGGAGGGGCATGGCCAGATTTGAACTGGGGGAGGACACTTTTTGGCATGGTTTGAAGAATGGGCTGGAGATTACTAGAAACTCAAACCCAGGACGTTGGTTAGGAAAGTCATACCGCAGTCCTGATGATGGTGATGGGGACAGGAGGGGACGTTGTTCCTGAGAGAAAGGCCACACCGTGCTCCAGCAGTCTTTGGGAAGTGGCTCGAGCACATGAGCAGCTGCCACGCTCCCACCATATTTTAGGTGTCACTTGTCGTGTGTTTACATGTAAATAGAGACTAAACAAATATTTGGAAGTCCCTCACCGCTTCTCCCTCATTGTTGGAAATACAAATACAGTTGTAAGTAAGTTTCGTTTTTATGGTATTTGCCTCTAGAATTAATTTAGTCCTTTTAATTCAGTAATTTTCTGTGCTTTTTTCCTCCTAATTTACTCAGAGAAGCACGGATTTAGCATTTTCTCAGTGCCTTCCCCCCCTAGAATTGGATTTATTGATTTAAAATTGGAAATAGACTCCTGAATTTTCATTTTAATTATTTGCACTGTACAATTGAACTGGAACTTGGGGTAAGGCCTGAGGGTTAACATGAAGTGCCTCCCTCCCCATTATGTTGGTTACGGGCGAGGTTCGGCTCTAATGGGGATGGGAACCTGATTAACACCGGCCATAAACCTCAGCATATCCCTGGCCAGGAGTGATTATTGAAGATGATTCAAAGACGCACATTCAGGAAAGTCTCCAGACAGAAGTACTTAGAGTGGGAGGTGGAGAAAAGGAATAGATCTTGTTTTGTAGAACTTTGTCACATACCTGTCTGAGACAATGTCCCCCATGCTTTAGGAGCCATCCTGACACCAAGCAGCTTCTGTGCACTCAGATGCTGGTATAAATAGTAATGGTTGGAGGCCGCCTAATGGAATACTTCTTTTAGCCTGAACTGGTTTTTAACAATAGGTATTTTAAATGACAAATTGCTTTTTCAAACTGCCTGGTGTCAATGTCTCTTTAGAATATTGTTCTTTCAGTAGATACTTGCAAGCCCACTGTGTGCAGGACACCGCTGGCCCCCTCCGCTCTGCTTTAGAAGCCAGTGTGGCAGTGGGATGTTAAGGTCGTCACGCAGTGGGCAGTGGGCCATGATTTCTCGGGATGTGTCACAGTTTGTGGCACTTGGTTGCTTCATTCTCCAGCGCCAGGAGCCGCCCACCCTCTTAGTGGCTCATTGGTTCTAATCGGCTTGCCTGGTTCTCCAGCAGTCCTCCAGGCTTTTTTATATTAAGGTCATAAAAGAGTTGTAAGAAGAATTTTCCCAAATATTTTGCTGCTCTGCCAGGTTTTGCCACAGTTGATTGAATGTCAACACCACGCCCCCCCTCCTCCCCTGTTAGTAAGAATTTCTGGTGGCCTGTGGCTGTTCTCTCAGCTCTGCCATGGGAGCTGAACCAACAGGCTCAGGAAAAAGATGACAGTGAATCTTTAAGGGGCCCCACCTTTGATTTTCATGGTGGTATGAGTAATCGTTTTATCATATTTCTCAAGTCTAAGAGAAAGTCACTTTCACCACAAATACAAATGTAAAATTTCTACAAAATCAAGTTGAAAATGAGTTATATAGTCTTTACAAGCTTTTCTATCTTCCAAAGTATACATTTAGATAAAATATGTTCTATCCTTAATTATGGATAGAATTGATTTAAATATTTAGATGATAATATAAGCAGCTTGTCACCCACAAAGTTCTTTGCAAAAGTTCTTGATTTAGAAAATAAAAGCTAAGGGGCCGCCCGGTGGTGCAGTGGTTAAGTTCCCACGTTCCACTTCCGTGGCCCGGGTTTGGCCAGTTTGGATCCCGGGTGCGGACATGGCAGTGCTTGGCAAAAAGCCATGCTGTGGTAGGCGTCCCACGTATAAAGTAGAGGAAGATGGGCATGGATGTTAGCTCAAGGCCAGTCTTCCTCAGCAAAAAGAAGAGGATTGGCAATAGTTAGCTCAGGGCTAATCTTCCTCAAAAGAAAAGAAAAGAAAAGAAACGCTAGGAAGAATTAAGCCAAGAAACCATCTATTTGAATGATCTCCTTTAAAAGGCAAGCATGCCCTTCTCCCTTTGAGTCAAAGGAAGTCCTCTTCTGTTCCATTTTCATTCTACAGCCCAAGAGTAATCTGTTGCTGAACTGCATTTCACTTGCAATATTTCAGGCAGCAAAAATGCATTTGGTACCCAAAGATGGGAAACTTTAAGTTTGGCCGTTTAGTTTTGGTATTGTAAAATGGGGGTGGGTGTCGCGGCAGGGGGTAGTAAGATGTGTGGAGGGTCCCAACCGCCCCTCACAGTAGCCCTTTGAGGTCCTGGAAGCCCCCCCTGGACATACAGGACAGGGGGGCCCCGAAGAGTTAGAGAACCCATCTGGTCGAGAGGCAGCTGGGTGGTAGAGCCGAGATTTGAACCCGGGCCTGTGCGCTGGCAGAGCCCAGCTCTTGTGTGGCACGGCCTGACCTCAGGTGGTCAGGGCCTGCCAAGGAGCTCAGGATCTGCAGAGAAAATCCAATTAAAACCTGGGAAATCTGATTAAAAATGCCACAGTTGCCTCTCTCAGTCACACACCCAAGTGCCGTCTGGTTAGTAGATGGCGTTAGAATTTTGAAATTCTTCATTCTAACAGTATGTTTCACGTTTACTATAAAGGCATTTAAGTGGTTCACAGGCATCAAATGTTCTGTCCTATTCAAGTTCCATGAAATGTCTTCATGAAAATAGTGTGGGAATTTGGGTCCCCTCAGCCTTCGGCTACACAGCAGAGGCGCGTTCAGACGTGGGGGCAAAGTCTCCCCGTCGAGTGGGGTTTAAGCTGTGAGAAGACCAGGAGGAGCGCTTGGCTTCGCTCGTGAGGAAGTACCTGAGGTACCCGTCACCTTTCTAATTTATCCCGTGTGGGTCATTCGTCCGTCTGTGCTCACACTCCTCCGACAGGCAGTGACACAGGGAAGCTGTCTTCTCTACTGATCTCAGACTCTCCCTTGGGGTCAGGTCACATGCCTGGTGACCAGCACCCATGCTGTGAATTATCAGGATGTGGAGTGACAACCTGGTGTGTCTTAGGGAGAAAGCAGAGAAGCTAACTCTGATGACACAGCAAGTGGGGACACTGAAGGAAGGAGCCACAAGTGGGAGAAGGCAGGATGGGCAGGAAGCCATCCTTGGGAGATGACAGCCAGACCGAGGAGGGGTGAAGCGTGGAGGGAGACACTCTGGCTCTGCCCTGCAGTTTATGTTGATCTGGTTCGACCAGCAGCACTGACTTACACAAACGACAATTTTGCCATCATAAACTTAGGGTCTTTGAAACATGAGAGCATTACTGTCTATTTAAAGTTTATGTCTGCTTCTTCAGAAAAGGGATTCAAAAGTTTTTAAACAAAGTAGGTGTATATTTTATTACTCTGAGTTTTATTTACAGGTGTGGAAAATGACCTTAGAGAGATGAGACCGTTTTCCCCAAAGCTAAGAAAATGGCGGAGCCAAGGTTCAAATCTAGATCTAAAAACACTGCAAAGCTTGCATTCTTCCTACGACAGCCTCTGCCTCAAAATCAAATACAAAGTCAAGAACAAAAACAAACACACACAAAGGGCACAGTCAGTATGTTAACCAGGGACTGCAGTTGGCTGTGAGCATGCTGACACACACAGCCAAGGGGGAAACAGAATAATCCACATGATCCCAATCACTTTACAACTGGAAGCATATCTTGAAAAACAAGTTTTTTTTATTGGTGCTGAATTCGAGGCACAGTATAATAAACACAAAATAGGCCATTTTGTTAGCCAGACTTTTGCAGAGAACACGGAAGCCATAACTGATGTTCATCCAGCTGTTTCTTCATTTGACCCAAGTCCAGGGGTGGGGGAGTGTACACATCTGTGCACGTGTGTGTGCAGGAGCATTTGTGTATACATCTAGAGAGATGAGTGAGACAGGCTAACACGGTCCGAACTGCAGGTTTGGGACACGCTTTAAGGATCTAGGGAGGTGTACAGACAGCACCTCTCTGAGCCTCTCCTTTGCATATCACATCTCTGGACCTGACTATTATTAGAACTGGTAACACAATTTGAGGTTATACAATCTGATAGCCTGGGGCACTGGCATTTTAAGTTGTTGATTAAGTGGAAATGAATCTGCTTTGGAAGACCAGTGTTTAACCAGGAGGGTTGATATTTTGGTGTAATAATTGAGAAACGTGATCCCTGTTTGCATCTCTTGGCAAGCCGTCCCACCTCTACACAGGTGTTTCTGAGCAGGGCCGAGGGTTTCCTTGAGAAGGAGGTCAGATGGGCTGAAGGTGGACGGAGCCTGTGGATGTCTGGAGAGCAGTGACCATCCTTGGGGGCTCGGGAGAGCAGGAAGCTGGTGACACCATCTGGAGGGTTTCAGAAGCAGATTGTGGTTGAAGCCACACTGGTGCTTGGGATCCTCCAAGGCCAGCATGGAGAGTGCAGAGGGAGGAGAGGTGAGCAAAGAGACACCAGTGTTTGAGGAATATGGGCCTGTCATCAAGCCCCAGCAGACCCTGAGGACATGGGGGCCCGTGAACTGGCTGCGGATCTTTCCAGACTGCCCAGCCAGCCCCAGCCCTCTGTGACAGCCCGTTGCACTCTCCATAGCGGTTCTCTTCATCTGTGCAGATGAGGAGGACTGACAACGTTAGCTGTGCTTTTGGAGCCGTTTAAAATGATCATGAGCTCCTTTTTGATGGATTTATTAGGGAAGATGAATATGTAGATATTCTTTGGGAAATCCAAGTGGGCCTTTTGCTTCGCATGAGAACCTGCACTAATGGGGGAAAAAATGGTGATACGATGATCAGGTGATACGATGACCAGGGTGCATCTCTTTTGTAGCTACTGACTTGATAAACATTTTTGCTGGAGGTCCTGTTTTAATATAGTGATAATGTTGACTACAGTCACCTGTGCTCACTCATATAAGGCTAGAAACACCAAGTTTCCAATCTTATAGTTTTGGCAGCATCTTGAACAATGCCTGAGTCGGTCAATGTTTTGTTGAATGAATGAATGAATGGAGTAGATAATCTTACCTAGCGATCACTGCAAAATTAGGAGAACCTGTGAAGCAAACTGATATGTCAGTGTGTGATCATAAGCTTTTTAAAAGAATATTTCAGGGGCCGGCCCCATGGCCGAGTGGATAAGTTCACGCGCTCCACTTCAGCGGCTCAGGGTCTCGCCAGTTCGAATCCTGGGCGCGGACATGGCACTGTTTATCAAGCCCTGCTGAGGCGGTGTCCCACATGCCACAACTAGAAGGACTCACAACTAAAAATACACAACTATGTACCGGGGGGCTTTGAGGAGAAAAAAGGAAAAATAAAATCTTAAAAAAAAATGTTTCAGTTACATTTTAGTGATTACTCTGTTTAGCTGGAATTTTACTGGTATTCTGTTCGTATCTGCATGAATCAGAACGTGGAAGCCTCTTTCTTCACTGTTTGTGAATTTGACCAGTTGACTTTCCAATTAAATTTCTGTACTTTTTTGTTTAACTTTTATCACTGTGAAAAGAAATTTTAAATTGAGGATGAAGATCTCTTTCCCATTAATGGTAGAAGGTGTACAAAACTCTGCGTTAGAAAGCAGCAGGATTTTTATAGAGATTCATGTGGGTATGCCCATGTTTTACCAATATATCTAAAATAGAATGTAAAATCAGTTGTAAAATTACTATTTCAATGAGACTTCAAAAAAATTTTTTTAATTCATATTTTACCAGTGTTGTTTTTTTTTTCCAATATGGCTTTTATGCATATTTCAAGGTGCTTACAGAACCTTTCTTTCTGATGTTTCTACTTCTGTAATTGGATTTTATATTTCTTTCTCTGTTTCTTTTGCCCTTCTCTCTAGATCTATCAGGTTCAAAAGGTAGGCACTTCCGTCTTTGTTTTCTAATTTGCATGTACTGTTTTTCCCTTGCCAAGACCTGGTCACCTTTCAGAAATAACGCCTCTCGTGACAGCGAAGTTCTTACTGCTGCTTTTACTGCTTTGTTTATGAATTGGCTTGCACAAGAATGCTTCCTTCCCTACTTCTCCTCCCACAAAAAGCGGCTGTCCGGCAGACACATTTCCAAGTATTAAATGCTTTCCCATCTCCATTTTTCTCAAGAAATTAGAAAATTGTTTCTTTGAGAAAAAAATGAACTCTAAGACAAAATAAAATCACATTTCAGAATTTGGGAAACCTTTTGAAATCAGATATTTAAAGAGAAATATTGTCCTTCCATATAATTTTCTTAGAAAACCTTTAAAATATCAATGCAAATTACCATTCATTAAGAGATTATTGCATATTATTTAAATATCTGAGTAGAAAAGAGAATGATGATAGAACAGCAAAATCTAATAGCTTAAAGTAGACCTGTGCTGTGTCCCTCATATTCGGTTAACATGCATCTCTGTTTCCTAGTTATTATGTAGAAGCAGCTGAGGTTTAGAAATAAATACATTGAGCAGGCCGGCCACAGCAAATAAAGAGAAAAACAGCCAAGTCAGTGTCTCCTGATTCAAAAGTAATGTAGGAAGGAGTGAGCGAGTTCCCTGAGAATTTATAGAATGTGTACACAATGGTCTTTCCCATAAATGAATTCAGTTTATGACTTATGACATCTGCCCTAGTTGCTTTTTATAAATCTATTTCGTTTATAGATAAAGAAAAACTATATTTTTCTTTTAGAGCAGCTAAGAAAATCAAAATAAGGTGACCGTTTCAGAGATTAAAACATGCAGGGCCTTTAAACAGTCTCTGTAAATTTAAAATTCTATCATTGGATTCCTTTACTGGCGACCATTCCAAATTGCCTTTCCTTCCTGCCGGCGCTCACTCCGTACAACTGCTATCCCCAAGAGTGTAAAGAAATCAGTGAAGTAGGTACCAGAATCTGTTTGTACTTTGTTAGTTTTTGGAGGGTCCAAGTATCGAAACATATGTTGAAGCTGGATCCGACCCATGCTTGTAGAGGCTGGGTCAGAATTTCACAGGCGGAAGGCAGGGCTGACGAGGCTGGGAACCCTCGCTGTGATGCAGGAGGATGTAACTGTCCAAAACCCAGACAGGGGACTCTGTCTGGGAATTTCCACTTCGGTTCTTTTGTTTCTAGTCCTACATCACTAGTCTTGTCTTTTTGCTAGCTCACCAGGGACACATTGTCAGAACTTTGTCAGAATGCTGATTTGTATACAAAGTAAAACTAGAGGGAGCTGAGGAAGCCCTCACTGGGAAAACATTGATACACATTTTTATAACAAAGATGGGTCCAAGAAAGGGAAGGCTTTTCTAGTCGCTAAGATTTGTGAAAAGGAAAAGGAGGTGGTAAATGCTCCCTCCCAGCCCCTGGGCTGTTTTGCGTAATGGTTTCTCTTCTGTGGAATCGAAGCTATTTCTGAAAGTGGAGCACCTTTGCATTCTTCTGGCTCTCACTTCCCTCTGCATGACTCACCCGCTAATCATAGTAGTTTACATCTCAACCATTGTATGCTTCTGGAGTTTGCTGTGCTGGCCTGCTAGCTAACATCAGAACTACCAGTAAACTGCACCTACTGTTTCTCGGGGTGCGCTCCTCCATAGATGACATGAAAATGTAGCTCGAGTTACAGCGGCTATTAGTAAGGCCACCCGTGAACTAGATGGAAGATTTTCAATACTGATCTCACGAAAAGAGCAATCGTGTGCAGTACTTGGTATATAGAATTGGCAAAAAGAAAAATAGAGAAACTGAAAAAAAATAGAAAAATAGAAAAATAGACTTCTTTTGGAATTTAAATTTTTGCGTGAGTTTATTTAGGCTCCCTTCCTTTTCTAAAACATATTTTCTTTCTACCTTTGAAATTAAGCCATGAGATAAAGGAGAGTTGATGGCATCACATTTTACAGGTGAAAAATCTGAAATTTGACAGAGTGGGGCTAACATTAATTGAATGCAAAATAGCTTTAAGCTGTTGCATTTCACATAAATTGAAGTTAAAACTGTGACTTGCGGAAATGCGGCTTTTCTTTCTTTTCTCAGTTTATATTCTGAGGAAAGTAACTTCCAGAAAAAGATCTGACTCGCATACTTTTGGTATTTCAGTTCTGCATTGGCTAAATTTTTTAACGTTGTTAAATTCTTCCTAATTTTTCCTCTTCTAATTTTCTACTTACTGCCATCTCTAAGAGAAAGAGGCAAGACCGTCGGAGAGCCGGATAATTTCAAACCTGTCCACCCTCCAGAATAAACTGAAACTAAACTGAACGTAGCAGCCGCGTGTTTTGGGCGTTTAAAACCATCTCACAAATTGTCTTGTACTTTTCACACAAAGTTTTTTCCCTCTGATTGTAAGATTTTAATGTGCAAAGGGGAGAATCACATCTGTGTTATATGATACGGAGGTTTGCTTGCTTGTTGCTTGCTTTTCTTATTGGAAATTGAGGGAAAGGGAGAAAAAACAAGCAGAACTCCACTATTTGAGACTATACCTGGGTTCCCACCCAACTTTGGAATTACTAAAATAACAGGAATAGCCATTCTGAATCTGCCTTTCCAATTCCAACTTGGACCATTGTCATTTCGACAAGCGAGGTGAAAGCGTGCAGGCGTTAGCTAAAGAAACGCCACACATAACTGGGGAACATCAGTTTTTTTCCCCCTGTGCAAGGACCTCTTCTGCAGGCTACTCGGTCCTCTTTCCCTCTGTGGCATGCTACAAAGACATGCCAAGTACATAGATTCTCATGGACCTAAATTTAGCACAGCTATCAGATAGCTGGAGCAAGTGTAGCAGAAATCCAGTCGCTCCCCCTGGCCTCTAGGTTTTCACATTCCTATTGTAGCGGCACAGGAATGGCTCTCAGCTTTTGCTTCTCTTAAGCTGTGTCTTATTGCCTTGGTGCATTTGCTCTGAAGGCATGCACAGCTTCCCTGACAGGCTTGCAATGCTGCTGGGCTAGGTGCAATTCCTGGTCTCTACCGAGGTCCCCCCCCCACCCCGACCCTCGCCCCAGGAATGCTCTTTCCTGGGCTCCTTTTGCTTGTCTGGGAGGGAGTGGGGCAGGGAGGGTCTCTTACAGGCTGCTTTGGCGGCGGCTGCCTCTGCAGAGCCCGGAGCTGTTATTAGCTGCTTGGCCTCAGCATGTTCCGCTAACCATGTGGCTTGGGTAGCAATTTAGAAATGCATGTCGGAACAGCTCCTTATGCAGTTACCTACCGTTTCACTTCTTGCCTAATTTTCTTTCCCTTCCGTCTATAGAAATATTACGGGCTGGATACAAAATGGGGTGACATCGAGCAGTGGATGGTAGGCCTGGAATACTATTTTAAGAAACTTAAATGGTTTATAATTGGATTCTTATACAGTTTAATTACGTTGATCGATTCCTGTTGCATCCTAATTTAATACTGAGAGATTTTCTTCCGGGGACTTCTGCATCTGGCCTGATTATCTACATCCCGTATGAAGCCTGGTCAGAAACAGTCCTAGCCAGGCATTGCTGTCTGGTCTGTTCAGCAGCTGCTGGCTCTGTCCGCCTTTGCTGTGGTCCCCTCCTCACCTTGTCTGCCCTGCCCACTGAAACCCCTGTTCTTTGGTGAGAAATTCCTTTATGTTCTCCACTCGTTTCCTAGAACAACTCCTCTGTCCTCTTAAGTCAATTGAGGGCTGGCTCGCCCCTCGTGATACCTGTGACCTTATGACCCTCTAGGGAGGAAATGATGCCCCACATTGAGAGGATCTAGAAGGGGGAGCATTTGGCTTTCTCCCCACTGGTCCCGAGAGAACATGGCTTCGCTCTTTCTCTCATTAATTCGTCCACCTGAGTTCATTCCACCTCTTTCTGGCCTTGACACCTTATTGACTGGCGTCTTGGATATCATCACGTCCTTTTAGCATTTGAGAGCTTGGCCAGTATGGAAATGTCGTATTAAATGTCCCTTCTACATAAAATAATTTAAGAAAATGTAAAATTACCTCTTCACACCTCACATACCTGTGTACAATATGAAAGAGAATAGTTCTTGAAATATAAAGAGCACACACTTCTATACTGGAAAAAAATGGTAAACGTCAGGCTTTATTACGTGTAAACCATCATTTTAGGCTTATGGCCCAGGCAGATGTATGTTGATCAAGTCTTAAGACACAGTTAAAAGATGTGTCATTATTTTATCTACCACTAAGAAAGAAAAAAATGCTGCTAATTATAATGTGAGCAACTTTGATTATAAGATATACCGCAACTTCAGAGATGTCAAATGTGAAAAACTGTGTGTGTCTTAGAATGCCCAAAATATAGTAGATAGGGCAACAGCCTTACTGGCTTTTTATGGGAATGATTTATCTTCTGACTCCCAAAGAGACTAGAGTAAGGTGATTCTGATTCTAAGAAAAAAAGTAGATTGACATAAAGGGACCACCTTATAGAGGTTAGAAAAAAATGAAGACCCAACTTCTTCCCCAACACGTACTTTAAAGCCAAAATGAAATATGCCAATTATTTGTGTGCTTCAGTGTCCTTCCCCCCAGAAGAAAACATTTCCCCCAGTGGTTTAATTGAAGCCTTTTAATGAAAGCAAAGCAAATATTTATTTGACATTTATACCAGAAATACTGTATTGCATCACAGCTAGACTATGTAAGGCTTCTCCTGTGTCTGTTTCTAACCTTTTTATACTGTTCCCTCTGTTGCTTCGGTAGGAAGACAGTGAGCGCTACTCGCGTAGATCCAGAAGGAACACGTCGGTTAGTACTGTGTTCATTCATTACCAAGGCATTTTGATTGGAGTCTCATTTGTAGCTTTAGTGGCTGAAATACATAAATTATATCTATATCTGAATGACATCTATGTATATCTTGTTGTTTATGAAAGAAATTAACTAATACTGATATTATTAGCTAAACAAAGCCTGTGAACTCAGCTTTTAGCATTTTGACCTAACCTTGGTGAGGGGAGAGTGCTTGAGAAATTTCTAACTGTTAATATATTCATGACAGTTTGAGTGCTTTTTTGCTGTCGAATACCCACGAATAATTTACAGAGTAATATGCATTGAGACTAGGTATTTGTAGATTACCGGCCAAGTAGGTAGCACCACTTTAATGCAATTAATTTAAAGCCTTATTATTGAGAAACAGTCCTCTGTAAGCAGAGGTGCACAAACAAAGCCCATTTGGGGAAGACCTCGGCTCAGGTCCACTGAGACCCTCGGAGGTGCCTGATGCTCCCCACTACTGTGGTGTCGTATCAGCCACATCCCTCTGAGAGCTGGGCATTGGTTTCTTTATGTGTCTTATCACTTCATGGTTGTTTTCATCCTTTCTTTTACTAGGCTTCTGATGAAGATGAACGCATGTCAGTGGGTAGTCGTGGAAGCCTGAGGGTCAGTAACCAGAATGATTGAGTTTGCATGGTCCATTTTATTGTCGAAGTTCTTTGCTTTTTCATCCCTGCATTCAAATGTCTTGTTCATTATCTTTGTCATCTTATAGTCAATATCTAATTCACAAGATGCTTATTTAAAATCTAATCGGTCGTGGGATGTCTCTCTGTTGTTGTAGAGAGGTGATTAATGAGCACAGGCACTTTTGTTGTGTCTTTCTCCCAGGAGTGGAAGTCATACTTTTTGATCTCGTTGTTCACCTCACACAGCTGCCACAGCCTGATAAGTGGTCCCTGCAGTGGTAGTGTGATGCAGGCAGTGTGACGGCTCCTTCTGTCCTTAAGTCCTCACACCTATTTGCATACGTGCTGCCGGATCAGACTTCAATTTTGGTTAATTATTATTCAGTGATGTTTTTGCATAGGTCCTTGAAAGCTGCTGCAGATTGCCTGCTGGAAACTTGGAGCCGATTGACTCCATAAGACCCAGTCTCTCATCTTCAGGAGCCTTTCCTTTCGCCAACTGTAATGCCATCTCTTCATCACTGACAGCTTGATGCTTGATAAACACAAATACGTATTTTTCCCTAAACATTCCAAAACTCTTCCTAATTGTACTTGAAGAAATTGCATGCTGTGGGAAGTGAAGTAGAGAAACTGTGTTTTATACTATTGCTTAGTGCTTTAAGTCAGTAAATTAATCTGAGCCTGTCAGTTTAGTTTACCGCAAAGTTAAAATTACATCTCACTACTTGTAATAATGTCTCAAAGCAGCCACTCCATTTTACTGTATAGAGCAGAAGGCTTGTTTTTAATCAGCATGACAGTTAAATCATAATATCACGATAGACTTCTTATTTACACACTAAATGTGCATTTAATTTGGCTGTTTATACCAATAAACCATGAAGGTGATACATTGTTATTGTGCTATAAAGCAGTCATTGTCATTGTCCTTGCAGTGCCAAAAGCAGATCCACAGTGTTTTGCCAGAAAGTTATGTTTCAAATGTCAAGTCAGTTAGAGAGCTTCCTTGCGACTTGAAGCTTTCTCTTTAGCCATACTGTTGTAGCTTCCTCATAGACCCTCTGACATGATTCAGCTAGAGGAAGTAAGATTTATGTAACCAAAACATTAGAAATGCAAAACTCAGTGTGCAGGCTGCGTGAACAAGGCACAGAGGTGACAGCTGTTGAGCAGGCCCAAGGGAAGCTTGCGTCCGTGAAACCAAGTGAAGGCGATGCTGTCTCAGGGAGGAGGGGTGTGGTCACTGTGTGTAGGACTGAGGACTGACCATGGGCCTTAGCGTCGTGAAGGACATCGTGACCTTGACAAAGAAACTTTTGATGGAAATGGTGAGAGCAAACCTTGATTAATACGCGCTCAAGAGAGAATAGGAGAGAAACTGAAGACAGAATCCAAATCTATCAAAATATCACTTTCAGATCTATGATCCTCCTGAAAATGTATGCGGATTTTGTGTGTACTTGCCTTTTTTGGGGAAAAGAATTTGTCACTTCCTGAAGATGCTCAGAAGGTTTCTTGAACCCAAAGAGTTCAAAAGTATTGCAATATGAGCGAGGGTTAGGGTATTTATAGCATTCAGTTCATTTTCAATGATTTTAACCAGAAGTGAGTTAAACGTCCTTGCTGGACACCATTCTTTGCCAACATATCAAGCATATTTGTTTTAAGGCATAAAATTTGATGGAAGAAGTCTCCAATTAGGATGTTAGATAGGAGAGAGGGAGAAAGTGGAAAATCGACCATGCGTGGGATTGTCATTTTTAGCCACGTGGTTGGTGCTCTGTTCCATGACGTACTTGATCTAAAGAAATAACTCTCTCTAAAAACCACAGACCTTGAAACTTGGATCCTGGAGATAAGAGTCAAACCTCATAACTTTTATAGGCGCAGAACAAGTTCGGAGCAGTTAAGAGGGCTACTCGGGGCCACGTTCTTTGTAACAGCACCAGCCCGGGACCCCCAACCCTTGAGGACCTAGAAGCTCCTGCCTCTCCTGGTTGGGCCAGGCAGTGGAGCAGCATGGGGACCCTCTGCTCTGCTGAAAGGCTCTCATCTCACCCCTTCTCTATGATAGGGGATGGATTCGTGCCATTTTTATATATTTCAATATTCTGAAATCTTTAGTTTGCAAAGTCCTAATATAGGATCCTATCTTTTATTGCTTGACTTTTCCAAAACACAAGACCTTCATTCAACTGACAATGATGGTAAACCCTTTTGAAAGGGTGCAGTTTTACTTTTCCAGCGTTCATATGGATATTCTTTTCAGAAAATCTAGAGTTGGATATAAGCTTTTAATTTTCCTTGTCAAAACTGACAGTGATGTATCTGTTCACCTTTTGCCTAACGTAAATAGAATGGATTGTGTAGAGGAGGAAATAAGATTTCTCAGACTGCTTCGGAGTCCATGGGTCAGGGCAGCCTTTGCCATAGAGGTTTTATTTAATGTTATTGGGTTTTTCAGCGGCCAGCCCTCCCGTGGAATTCCTTTTGTAAGTACGCGAGATCCTAGGCATGAAAAAAATGCAATTCTGTGAAGATTTTCAAGATTGCCTGTTTTTTGTTTTACGTTTTGTCACGTTTTACTGAGCTCTTTGATTGATTTTTGGCAGTTCTCTTTTCTGATGTTTTCCTCTTCCATCCTGACTGACAGTCGCAGCCTGACTTGGAGTGTGGGGGTCCCTACGCCTGGGTGAGATGGTCGGACAGACTTTGCCGTGTGGTCCTAACAGTGTTGTGTGACAGATAATAACCTGTGGTGTTTCCACTAATCGTGGGTGTTTGTCCAAGTCCATTGTGGTCTGAGAAGACACATATACCATCATCAGTTTACCGGGGGGACAGGGGCACGTGCAGAGCCTCCTGGGGCAGCTCTGATCCTGGTGGTCGGGCTCTGGAACCCGTGAGTTCCCTCGCTCACCAGGTGGTCTTGGAGCTCCAGCCATTTGCCACGCACTGTGCTAGCAGCTGCGGACACCAAGATGGAGAAAGATAATGTCTTGCTTTCAGGGAACTCAAATCAGATCCAGAATTCCCAATGCCTCTGCATTTTCTTTAAAAAATTAAATTTAAAGTCATTTTATCTAAAAATGAAAAATTCATAATTTTCCAGTATGTATCCATTCAAGCTAAATGTCCAATCTGTGCTCTTTGAGAAAGACCCCAGTTCTAGTAACAAAAACGAAGGCTTTAGGTTTGAATTTGGAATTTCCCTTCTTACATCCATCTAGGCTTTCTGAAACCCTGTAAGCGTAAACTACACTTCCAAGAAGAAAAATGTTGTCTCACCAGAAAGGACAGTCAGCATCAAAGTGATTCAGTGCTGACGTTCTTACAACATGTTCTACACTGCTTCACTTTTAGGACTTTCTCTGAAAGCATCTGGTGTTTCATTCATTCCATCGTGTTTTGAAATTATTTAGCAAATCCTGTTTCTATAATTTTTTTTTTTTTTTTGAGGAAGATTAGCCCTGAGCTAACTACTGCCAATCCTCCTCTTTTTACTGAGGAAGACTAGCCCTGAGCTAACATCCATGCCCATCTTCCTCTGCTTTATACATGGGACGCCTACCACAGCACGGCTTTTGCCAAGCAGTGCCATGTCCACACCCAGGATCTGAACCAGCGAACCCTGGGCCGCTGAGAAGCGGAACGTGCGAACTTAACCATTGAGCCACCGGGCGGGCCCCATCAAATCCTGTTTTCAAAATGTAGTTTTACCTTTAAGATGATAACAGTGCCATACAGCTGTGTAGCACACTTGACTCTGAGCCTCCTGGTGGGGCTGCCGTTCTGCACTTAACAGAGAGGATGGAGCAAAGGAGACGGCATTCCAGCCCAGTCTCAGGCTGAGCCACTGGCGAGAAGTAGACCTACTGTGGACAGTGGGGAGTACAAGGACATGTAATTAGATTCAGAAAGTGCTCCTCACAGGATCTCCTGGAGCACTTCCACACGGACACTGGTGGATGAGAGCATTTGTATGACTCTAATTCCAGCAGCTTTTCCATTCTTTAAGTAATTCCATGTATTGGCAGCATGCTTCTAGATTTTCAGCCTTTTTGTTTTAAACTCAAAGTAAATTATATCTCAGGGCCAGTCCCTAGTGGAATGAATGAATGTATGTGTTCACAATAGTCAGGAACATTTTCTGGATTTCGTTTTGATTTTCAGTTTTCATTCTGTTTTAAAACTAAATTGAGAGCATTAAGTATTGCACTTGAGAGTTACGATTTTGCCTCTTACTTGGTTTCCCCTCTCTAATGCCCTTGAAGGTGACCTGTCTTTTGACTCAGTAGAAAAATAATCTAACGTTATTAATAAAATGTTAACAATTGACTTTTGCCTGGTCACATGTGAAGTTCATTGCTGCTCTAACAGCCCTGCGTGGAAGTTGCTGGCATTCTGACTAATCGCAAGTTACCATTAGAGTAATTGGTTTTGATAGAGCGTTTATTCTTGTCTCTTATTTACCCTCTTTTAGGAGATGCGAGTTTGTGAATGTCTTCTTTATTTTGTTCTCTTTTAGCAGGTGCTTCTCAATGTTACTGTATGTAAGGTTCATCTGGAGAATTTATTAAAATGCATATTTCTTGGCCCCTAGGTATTCTGATTTCCTAGGTTGGGGCCCATGGTCACACCAGGTGACCATGATGTGGTGGTCTGCACAGTAAGGAGTACTGGAAAAAAATTCTGTACAGCAAAGCTAGTTGAACCTCAGAGACCTGAGTTAAGATGAAGATATTCTGTCTGTGGACTTTTTATTCTAATGTTGTTACAGTTAATTTTCAACTCTCCTTATCGCATTGTGCCACATAAGAACAGCTCCATCCATCCAAATCACCACCTAACCACCGCCCACGAGGAGGAAGTTGGGGGTGTTCTTTAGGAAGGCTAAAGTCCTGTCACTGTAGAGAGGTTATCAACAAGACCCTGTCGACTTGGGAGCATGTTTTAGGAATATATTCCTTACGACAGACTTGCATTACAACAGAAGAGGGTTGTTGTGGATGTTCCAGAGAGCCTTCGAAGGAAGAGTTTTTCCTGCGTTTTCATGGAAGGCCAGAAGAGCAACGATGATAAATGAGAGAGTGCATTCGCTCTCCCAACCCTCCCCCCCTTTATTATACATATTACATGTAATATGTATAATAAAGTAGATATTACTATGCACATATTCACAGCTGAGGAAGTGGAGGTTCCAGTGGATTAAACAACTTGCTGAAGGTGACATGACAGAGCTTCTATTTGGAATCTGGACTCTTGTCCACCATCTCCTGGCAGCTCTTTCCATTTTCACCCGCTGTATGGACTGCCCCTCCATTTTCTATCACAAGAGCTGGTTGTTTCTCCATTGCTTGACAGCTCTTATCTTGAATCAGCAGAAATCTCCTTACAGAGGAAAGAGAGCAGTTCTAGAAAGGCCGAGCTTTGGCTTAAGGAAGCTCGGGCTGGGAGTAGAGAAGAGAAGGGAGACACGCCGAACTCACTCATTCTGTTTTCTCTGGAGACAAATTATGAAATCATGTCCTCATATTTCATTTTGAAAAATAAAGTAGGAAGACTGGATGAATGAAAAACTAATATAGAGGATCTACCCCCATGATGAACGTTTTTTTCCGGGATGAACTTTTGCATTTAATTGTAGATTGCATAGAGGCTATTTCTGAATCTTCTGAATCCAGCTTCATAATGGGCCATAATTGTCAAGTACTCACCCTGGACCAAGAGCTGGAAACGAATTGACTCAGGCTGAGTCATTACCCGTTGCCTCGCATTCAGGCTTCAGGAAAGCTAGGATTTCCGCACAACTACCAAAAAACCGGAAGCGAGGAAGCTGCCAAGGGAACAACTGCTCCCAGGCCCACAGGCTTCGCTCCACGGGGACCTGGCATTGCCTTAAGTCCTAGAGTGCCGTGTAGTCATGAGTAACACTGGGAGGACTGATTTGAGTCACCTGCCTGTGCTGACTGCTCCTGAGATGTGGTGGAGCAGATCAGAAGCATCTGGGGGCATGCTGGGATTTGTGCTGTCCTGGGCTTATCGTTCACCTGCTCCACTAGGAAAGCTCGGTTTACACCCAGCCAATTCCTCCTTGGTGATCTGTACCTGTGTCTTCATTTGTACACTAATGTCAGTTTTTCTTCTTTTCTTCATTGACACAGACAAATGGTTATGATGGAGAATTATATGGATCACAGTCCCTGAATAGAAGATCTGGCAGGGTTAGTATAGAAAAAATTTGCACGGCGCAGAATTCAAACAGGTTGCTACAAAGCTTTTTTAAAAAATATTGCTAAATGTAGCTTCTTTACTGTTTGCTGCATTATAGTGGGTCTCTTTTTTTTTTTCTAGTGCATGGTAGAAGGAAAGCTAGTGTTTTCAACAAGTAAACATTCTTGGAGTGTTAGTCTCCCAACATTCTAAGTGTTAGTGTGCGAGATGGATATAAGAATCTCTGAGGTTAAAAGGATCGAGAATTAAAGATTAGCTCTTTCGTTATTGTACAGCCCTAGCTGTATGTGTACAACATGTATATTAAATATACTCAGCTTTTAAGTATGCTTAAATTCGACATTATCATGGTCTTCCACATCTCTCATTTGTCATTTTAAAGACACGTGTACTAGAGCCTGTGTTTTCCTGAATGTTGATGCTTGGAATGCTCCCAGTTCGGGGGTGGGGGGCAGACGAGGAGCAGAGTCATCTCCCTAGTGAGACGGGAGAGGAAAGGGACCCCCAGCAGGAGAGGCAGAGGTAGGAGAAGGCCATGGCTTTATCGAGGAGGTCTTTGGAGATCTCAGAGATTCAACCGGACACATTTTAATTAAATTTCATGACCTTCAGCAGATCTGTTACAAATTTCCCCAAAGCTTCCTGTTCTTACATTTGTTTCATTTTTTTCCCTGTAGTAATAAATTTTACTGGGTGTGTAAAATAGTATTTCTTTTAATTTATCTTAATTATATCGAGATACATCATATATACACTTAAATTATATTTTCAGGCTTCAAAGGGTACCCCATCCCCACCTGAGCTTTCTGAAACTGGCTGATCCGCTTTTTACCCTCTTGTCCCTATTAAGGATCGCATACACTTCTATTTTGTGTAAGCTTTTCTCATCTCGGACTAAAAACTCCTCCCACTTTAAAGGCTGTGCCTTCCTATTTATGTTGCTTTTCACATTCACATCCTTTGGACTGTCTCCAGTTCTGTTATGTTTTTCTTTAAGGTAATTCGGCGCTCCGGGGACAGAAGCAAGCAGCATGCCATTCTGTCCTCGTGGGATGCTGACACTTTTGCTTCCTGTGCTCAGCATTCCCGCAGACTATTTAGTGCTGGCACAATAGGGCAAAAGTGTCTGATGGCCCCAGACTGCTTGTCGGGGTTTGATTGACTAGTTTGCAGCTTTTTACCATAAATGTGTCGTTTCACCATAAGTGATCACAAAGAATCACAGTTTAAACTTGGAAGTTACTTCAGACGTTCTTTAGTCTCCCTTCTACCCAACATTGCATTCTTCTCTAGAATATCCCACACATGGAGTTTCCAACATGTTTGTGACAGTACATGGTGACATCAAGCTCTGTGTTATACATGTAGCCACATATTTTAATCTTAGATTTTTAGGTTAAAGCAGAAGTGTGCCTTACAATTTAGTTAAGATTTAAGTAGCTCCTCTAGAAATCAAATACGAAAGAACCTGCTGAGAAGACTGTTCCTCAGAGTGTGAAACTGGATATACAATTGATGTAATAAAGAATCAGGACACACAATGAGTGAAGAACCCAGTAACCTACATAACGCAGCATCTTGTATAGGAAGACCCCAGAGCTGAAAACTCCAGGGACAGTATGAGGGTGAGCTTGGAGAAAAGACTGGATGGGAAGGAATAAAATGACCAGGCTGATGATAAGGGTTTGGAACTGTTTCCTTTCTAAGGGGACAGAGAGTATTCAGAGGCGAGGATGGCTCGATCATTTTGATCACCATCTTATGTCTTCATGAGAAATGTTCACACACGCTCCCTCCCCACCCAGATTCTCGGTTGGCTCTGATCTTTATAAAGTATATATTAGGACACCATAAAGACGGCTGCCGGACATTGCATTCTGTGGATAACGCTTCTTAGCTGGAATGGACGGCAGCTCTGTCAGGCTCCCCTCGCCTCCCTGGAGCTTCAGGGCTGAGCTGGAGCCCTCAGGTGTGCTGGCCTGAAGACAGATTGAAAATTTTGCAATCAACAGAACTTCAGTTAGCTAAGAAGGTATTAATACTGAAAGTCCAGACTAGGAGGTTATAGAGGGTCCATCATGAGATGGAGTGAGTAGTTTCAAATAATTTTAGAGATGCGAAACTGAGAAACAGTAACAGTTAAACCACATGACATCACGCAGACAGAAACACTGAAATGTGAAACAGAGCTGAGAGCCTCTAGCTGTTAAGAATTGCTGCTACTGTAGCAGAGCGTCTCGATTCTTGAGCTCCATTGGCGTTCCTGAGTACTAATGTTGGTTTGGTTGTGAAATTTTATATCTGCCTTTTGACCGGGACAGGTGGTGCTTTGGGGATAGTAAAGAAGTGCACATCACTTACGGTGTCTTCTTTGGTGCTCAGAATTCCAGCTACAGCGGTGACGGCAGAATCTCCACTTTGTCATCATCCAGAGAGGAGAAGTTGGTTGGTTTCCATTTAAATCTTTCACACCCTGTCTTCAGAAACTGCAGGTTTTGTAGCATGCAATCTTGTTTGTGTGGATTCAGTTCTCTTTTCTCTTTTAATGTCTAGTTCACGAATTTTCATTTGGATAGATGTGAAAGTCCATTTTTCAGCAGTAATTAACATCATCTATTTAATTGACTTAACCCACAGTCTAGTATTTGAATTTATATTCAAATGTTTGAATATGAATTGTGGTATTCAGCTGGGTACAATGAAAGGGAGTATTTATATTGCTATTTTGTAGTTAGAATTGATCAAAAAGAAAAAAAAATAAGAAAGCCTTGAAATGCTTTCCTTGGGACTTCTGAAAGCAGAAGTCCTTTGTAGGGTAGATGCAAACTTTGTGGCAACTTCTCAGGGATGGACTAGACTGGGAATGAGTTCCTTCCCATCCTTTAAGAACATGCGTCAATTTTGATAGGCAGCTATTTCTAAGTGATTTAAGAGCCCTGATAGGTGAGGCTTGTTTGTCCTGGATAAGGTTCATATTCACTCAGCAAACATTAGGGAAGTCGTTTAGGTAGGAAGATCACAGAGATAAGCCGGTGAGATAGGCACTCTGGAAGTATTCACTTCTAGAACAGAAGACCCACCTACCAGATCCACTAGTGCACTGTAAATAGGACATTAGGGAGAAGCTAATCTTGCCAGGAAGTGTCATCACAAAAGATGTGCACTGAACCTTACAGAATAAATAGGAAAAAAAGAAAAAGGAGTAAATAGAAACTAACCAGGTAGAGCCACAGCAGTCCAACTCCTGGTCCCTTCTTCTTCCTCACCTGCTGCGCCTCATCCCCCTCCCACTCTCCCATCCTGCCCCAGGAGGGCTCCACTGCCAGCAGCTCCATCACTGTCTCCAGCCCGGTAGCCCACTTTCCAAGTAATAAACACTCCATCCCAGCCCCCCAGTAGTAATAAACACTCCATCCTTTCCTGCCCCTAGCAGGTGAGTTTTGACTGAATATAAGATCGTCTGTAAGCACCAAAGTATTGGTGGGTTTTAACACCTTGAATTTTTGTGCATTGTGGGTGTTTTCTTAATTCAAGGGAAAATCTTGCTATTGCAAAAAGGTCTGTCATTCAGGGCACTTTACTTCCTCCCTACTTTATAAGCTGAGATACATGCTCTAAGGTAGAATATGGTGATCTTGATATCTAATACTACATGGATATGAATTATTCACCCAAGTTCAGCATATATTTGACTCAAATTCATTTAAGAGAAATAACCCACATGCAAAGTGTTAAACTCAAAATCAGAGCTGACCCATTCAAAACATAAAATATCAGATCTTCACTGAGGCCATGTGTCCCCACCGTTGGGCTGCCTGACACCCACCCTCAGAATCTCCCTGGTAATGATTGTGCTCTGTAGGTGTCATGTCTGTTGCTGTGCAACACATCAACTTTTTAAATTTCATTTACATCTAATAATGGAAAGGTCTCAAGGTAGTAGGTAGTATTGAAGACTCTTCTAAATAACTTCCCCAGTCTCTAGGTTTGTCACAAGCAAACCCTGGCCTTGGTGGCACAGGGTCCACAGTGGCTGTGGGAGTTTTCTCTCACATGGCTCCCTTTGTGCTTTCTGTGTCCCAGACAGGGTTGATAAAGTGGCTTCTACACAGGGTGCTCTCTCAACCCCTGGAACAAGTTTCAATATTTGTGTTAAAGATTAGAAAGTTTCTCCCCGTCCACCCCAGAACTCCACTTGCCTGCCCCTCGGGTCATTTGGGGGTAGCTTGTTCACGGCATAGGAATGATCGGCACAGGTTATGGGACCTTGAGGGAAAGGCGGACCATCTTAAGGTGCCATCAAGTTGCTTGAATGGAACTCCTTCATCTCTAAGGACTGTCCTGTTCTTGTGTGATGGGTAGGACCCTGTAATCTTTGTAAAACATTTTACTGGGGAAACTATTAATTTATACAGTAGCATTCCCCAGAAATGTTGAATAGGCCTTTGGTCTCAGAATTATACCACTGAGTTTATTGTGTCTGCTATGAAATGAATCCTGAATGCATATGCATCATGTAAATACGTCGCTGACCAAGGAGGCCAAGTCAGAGACCACCTCCACTGAAACATTTTATTACATGAAACAGAGGTTGATATCTCTGCAAATTCTTGGTTTTGAGTTTTTCCCACCAGACTTTCAAAACTAGAACTCGAATTGGCAAAGACCTTCAAATCACACCTATGGGCTTCCTGTCGATTAAAATTAAGGAGATCTATTTTTGCCCGTGTGTAGACTCAAAAGTCCTGATTTGGTTCCCTGCCATAATTTTGTCAATTAACTGGACTGTCTTTCTTCCGTTCCGATCATTCTCCATTCTCCCTCCCCCGCAAGTGCACGCCCTTAACCAGTTCTGCTGTAAAAGGTAGTTTTGTGTGAATTTCGGGCCCGCTGTGCTTCTGGGACGGAATGAAGCTGTGAGTCTCCACCCCCTCTGCTCATTCTCTCTGATTACAGAGACTCTCCTGCTCCAGCCTCGGGCTTCCGAGTGGTGGCCTTGCTCCCAAACCCTTGTCTGCCCAGAATGGAAACCGGGTCTGTCCTCTTCACATCTCTTTTCCCTCCTTCTCTTCCCTTCTGTTTATCACCTTAATCACTGATTACACGTATGTGGATATTTCAACCTCTCCTATATGAAATCCAGGGAGCAAAGCTCAGCAGGTGTTTCCACTGGCTTGACTAACTTGCTAAGACTCTTCTCCACCTTTTAAAACATTATCAAAAATAATTTAGGCCCTTATCTAGACAAAAGAAATTTAGGACAAGGGGGGCTCTATTAAATGCATGTTTTTGAAAGCGCGAGTCCAAAAATTGGTCTCTTGGGTCTCTCCTCCTTTTCCAGCAATTGTTCCCCATTTGGGGTTTCATTTATTTTTTAAAAACACGTTTTTCTCTTGTAAATGTGTCCAGGAAGCAATTTGGAAGGCTTTTGTGCAGAATCTGACTCCTCCGTCTTTGAGAAGCGGGGAGAACGACGTCGTTTCCTTGGCTTGCTCTCCCCTCTGTATCCTGTTTTTACAAGGTCGGCCTGCGGTCCGGCCCGAACTGCTTGGCCTTTTAGCTGTCAGCATACGAGTCCTATTCTCATACAGGGAGATCGGTGTCAGAGCTCCAAGTCCAGATCATATCGTGGAGGTTGAACTGTCATCTCCCCGTGTTGCTGAGTGATTCACCCCTGGTCACGCACAGTCTCCGACTGGCCCGGTGGCCCTGTGCTGTGGGCTTTCCGTGGCCTCTCCTGTGAATGAGTCATGACAGTGTTCTGGAGCTCAGTCTCCGGCCACACCGGAGAGCGGCCTTGGTGTTCCAGCACATCCCAACACGGGCACTGATTTGGGTGTGGATTCCCCTGTTACAGGGAAGTGCCCGCCCTGGCCCACAGGAGCAGTCTTCCAGCTTCGTCTGTATCCTGAAGACTGTCAGGGGGATGCCTTGATAGAAATAAACACACTCATGAGCCGCCCTCTTTGTGTGTGGAAATGTGTGTATTAACACCCCGAGTGTTGTTAACCCTGGATGCTGAGCACTGGGTTTCGCTGCTTTTCTTAGTGGTGTTCACCTTGTCACCATTCTCTCTCACTCCCCAGGCCTTTCTTCCAGGAATGCCTGAAAAGGCATGACTAGAAAATAGTCGTATTTCAAAGATGCTTAGGAAGTTTGCTATTTTAAAGTTAAAAACCCTCTCATCTTTCTTGTAAATTTGGATTTGCATCTGTCAGATTTACTAGAAACACCCATGCCTACCTCGACTTTTTTTCTTCTAACTGTTGTGCAGTCATTTGGCTGTCATGATAACTGAAATCATGATTACCTTGTTACTGTTACCTTGTTGCTGTTTTTTCAAGGCTTTTAAAACCTGCTATTTGCTTTCTTCCTCCAGCCCTCCTATGTGTACAGTGCTGCCCGGCCGGCGGGGAGTTACCGGGTGCGTGCGTGTGCCCCTGCACCCCATCCCCCCTCACCCCACCGACGTCCTGTTCTTTTCTCCCGGCTTCCTGCACTTTCCCTCCGCCCCCGCACGCCACGGCTCCCGCCCCACCCGCGCATGCGCACCCCTCCAGCCGCGCACCTGCTCTGGGAACGTGGCGGTACCTGTTTGCAGCCCTGCTGGGAGTGAATTACCCTTTTACGTGGAGCTTACGCGTGCCATGGTGTCTCTCACCCTTTGGCCAGATCTGGGTTTTATTTATCCCGACAGCTGACAAGAGCTGAAGAAGACACGTGTTTGCATAGGATCATTAGGCAGAAACGGAACATGGCAACATTTCCTTAATCTCTTGGCAGAAAGAATGATGGCTTTTTATTGCTTTGGTAACCTTAACAGGTATTAATCCAGTGTACTATGTCACTTTGGAAATTTCCAGTTTTAAATACAAGGTACTTATGCCGTGCAGGAAACTTATTCAAAGTAGCTATACTGTATTGTTAATGTTTCTGAATTTCCATCCGATTGCACACATGAATTAGATGCATAACTGGCTGAGCGAGCCAGCTGGGTCCTCAGGGGGAAACAGGGAAAATTAAAGTTCCTTTGAGCTGGGCAAAGTTTGACACCACCATCCACCGTGTTATAGACTCTTGTTGACCATCCGTGACTAATTACATAGAGTTTTCAAGTTAAGCAAATATTTCTCTTTTCTAGTTAGCAATTTTTAAAGAATTATGAAATATTGGACTATAATTATCTTCCTATTTTATTCCAAAGTCACTTTTGCTATTAGAGTAATGTTCTAAAAATCAAGTATGAGGATGCCATGACAAAATTCAAGATATGTGCATTATCTGCTTGTTTGAAATCTGGATTGACAAGTTGTTAGTTGGCAAGGAATCTTGTTCAGAGTCATACACTTAAAGGATCTATTGGAGATTACATTGCATGCCGAGTGACAGCAACTGAAACCTCTCTCCCCCCGATTTTTGCACCACCCTGTTCTGCTCCACAGCCCTTCGCCCGTGAAGGGGGGTCTTGAACCTTTCCTGCACGTCGTCCATCCTGATGTTTTTCAGGCCTTGTTCCTGGCATGTGTCAGTCTTCCTTAGCTCATGTTTTAGTGTCTTCCGGGTGCTCATGGAGAGAGGAAGGGCGCCCCATCCTGACAGTCTGTTTCTGTCGCAGGCGTCTGTATTGGACGAGAGCAGCCTCGGCGGGGCTCGGCGGGGCAGTGCCTGTGGCTCCTACGCTGTAAGGCGCTTTCTGAGGGTTCTCACGTCTGCTGCATGACTGCATGTGCTCGCTGCGCATAGTTCCAGCCCTGGGAGATAACTGACCAGAGTGATAGGGAGGAAATATGGTCTCATTTCCATTTTCCATTGTAATAAGGGTCATAGATTCTGTCAATCAGGAAGCTTTGGTTGTTAGTTTAGTGTCCTCTCTCATCAATGTACACGGAGGTCAAAGGGCGACGACTAACCTTGATGCAGTTTCATTGGCTTTTTCCCTGTGACGTGCTGACAGTATGAACGAGTAGTGACATGGTCTTAAAATAATAAAGAGAGGAAAAAGGGAATTCGACAGGCCGCAGATTATTTTCACCTCTGAATCATCGGGGAAATGAGCAAATTTAAAGACTCCAAATATCACACTTATGTCATTTCCTTTTTGTATTTTGTTGTCTTTCCACCTTTTCAAAGGCTTTGAAATGATAGACTCTTCTATGGCAATAAAGGTATAGTAGTGGCCCAAGAAATACTTGTTGAATGAAAAAACTGAGTGAATGAATGAATGAATGAATGAGGTAAACAGAATAGAAAAATGGACCAGTCTGTGGAAGTGGGGAAGCTAATTGCCTATCTTGAGGACCAGTTGGAACTGCTCATCAGCCCTAATCAGCACTTCTCAGTGAAGATGCTTCTGTATCCAAAGGCTCCTCCACAATCCTGTAAAAATGCACCCAAGCCCCATGTGAAATAGCATGGTTTACTAAGAAATACTTGGAAGTGCTTTTTACAGAGTTACCCAGTCTGCAGTTTCCTGTAGAATGTAATTTTTTTTTCTTTTGAGCTGAGGAAGATTACCCCTGAGCTAACATCTGTGCCAATATTCCTCTACTTTATATGTGGGTTGCCACCACAGCATGGCTGACGAGTGGTGTAGGTCCCTGCCCGGGATCCAAACCCATGAACCTGGGCCACCAAAGTGGAGGTCACTGAACTTCACCACCACACCCACATGGCCTGCCTCTAGAATGTAATTTTTATGAATATTAAATCTAATAAGTGACATAGTATTCATTTCTGTTGCTATCTAGTTAAACATTTATTAATTTTATATTGCATAAGGACCACTATATTAAGTATTTTTCCCAGTTCTTATATGTTTTTGTAGGCCATTAAAAAACTCATAAACCATGCCTGATGGGTGCAATAGCTCTCATCTATATATGATGGATAAAATGCAACTAAATGATTTTCTTTTATCAGAAAAGAGACAGCGTACTAATTTCTGGAGAGAGTGAGACTTTTCCCAAGCACTAGGTAGTTTTCTGGTGACTAAAGTAGAACTTCTAATGTCGGACAGGAGGTGTGTCTCCTCGGCTGATTTTTTTAGAAAGGCTGATTCTTGGCCTGCGGAAGCCAGTCCCTGGCATTGCCGATTGCTCTTTTGTGTCGCAGCTATTTCTGTGCTTTCAGCCTCCCATGGGAATCACCTGGGAGGATGGCTTCAGCTGAGTTAAGGAAATGAAACTTCTTGGCCTGGAAGCACAAATGCCTAAAATAGGGCCACATGTCTCTGGTATCAAGCCATGCAGAAGAAATAAAAGAGAAGAAAAAGAAATTTTTTCTGCACCTAACAGTGCACTCCCATCCAGAAGGAGCTCACTGTGCATTTGTTGAATTAAATTGGAGGAACTGGGGTAAAATCCCGGGGAAGAGAGATGTGGGCGTCAGCTTGGCTGTGGGTGGCCAGTCAGCAGGCTGAGTGGGAGGGGAGGTTCACCAAGCCCCCCCTCCTTTCCTCATCTCCCTCCTCCAGCCTCTCGATCACTCTCCAGGTGGATACCGGGTTCCCCACGCTCAGGAATGTGGCTCGGGGAGAGCCTCCCCAGGCTCTGTGTCCGGTTAGTCGTTGTGGTCACTGACAAACACACAGCCGTTTTGAGGAGGCTGCAGCTCAGGGTCCCCCTCCTGTCTGAGCTGGGAGTGCTGCAGCCTCCAGGCTGACCCCAAGCCTGCAGGGGACAGTCCTGATCCCACTTGGGAAGAATTGTCCCCATCTCCATTCTCCCAAGAAGTTAGCATCAGACACAGTCTGTGTTTACAATTAAATGACTTAATTACAATTAAATGCTTACATGAGATTAAATGAGTAGTTTTTTAAAGTATAACCCTTTCGCTTGAAAATCTTTCTACTTTGTACCTTCCTTGCCCTTATTAAGCTGTGTGCGTGTTGTTGGAAGGACATGTGGCTGTGTGTGAAGTGACCTTAGTTGTTTTGACATGCCGGGAAGCGGTCATCAACACCAGTGCTTCTGATCCAGGAGCCATGAAAGTTGTTTCTAGCAGAAAGTGAAAGCAAGGGAGAAAAACCCAATGTGCATTCTCTTGCATAACCCTCAGCCCCTCTGTGTGGTTGGTGTCCTTCCTTCCATATCACAGATGACTAAGTAGCTTTTCCAAGGTCTCGTGGCCAAGAAGAGATGGCGCCTGGACTCCAACGCAGATCTTTCTAACTTACATCAGCCCCACGTTAGCCACGCAGACTCCCAAACATCAGCAACTCCACAGGTGGCACGTGGACCACGTGATACAGACTTTAAACCTTTTCTGAATGATCAAGTGAAGTCAGATGATTTGAGAGCAGTTTCTGACTAGGGAGTGGGGCAAGCTTGGTCAGAAATAAGCTCTATTAACAACCATCCGACATATCTCTGAACCATAAACCAGGACGTGAATGACGTAGAATACCGTAGGATTTGTTTACAAGATGAAGTTTTCCTGTCTTGTATCAGTAAACCCAAAGGAGAAATTCATTTGCCTTAAAGTGCTGACATTAAGTGTTTTCCTTTATTTTGAACAAAGCTAAAAGGTGGAGCTAGTGATAACTGGTAGGTTTCTTGGATGTGTCGTATGTGACAACATCGTACATATGGTGGACGTACAGCCATATTACCTGTGCATCTGAAACATCTTGCAACTAAGTGTAAGTACACAATGTTTATTGAACAGGGGAATGAGTATAGGTAGGATGTGTCTGGGGAACTTGCTCATCTTGACCAAAGCTACTAAACTTGCAATTATTCATTCAACAAGTATTTCTTGAGTGCACACTGTGTGCCAGGCCTTCTCTGGGGGTGTCAGCAGGGAAAAAAACAGACACAGATCCTGCCCTCAGGGGAATTACATTCTGTTGGAAAGACAGGTGAACTAGGAGATGGTATTTAAGCTGAGATCCCAGGCAACCCTGGAGTTCTGTGGCTCCTCTAATTTGCTCCTGTAAGGCCTGCAGTCTCCCAGTGGGGCTGGACGGGCAGTGGAGAGAACAGTGCCCTGGCGTGCTGTGGGGTGTCGGCAGGGGCTTGCCGCAGGGCTGTGCACAAGATCCTCCTCAGGCCATGGCGCAGAATGCTCGATGCCTGTGATCCTAACCAGGGTTCGAATCCTGCCTCCCCGCCCACCCTGCCTAGCTCAAGAGGAAAATGAGATTTTTTTTTAACAAAACATGAGAAGGTATCTAAGGCTAGAACAAATGCGAGTACAAGTCAGGGTGAAGAGGGCGTAGCTACTGGATAAATTCGTTGCTAGTGTTTTCCTTTATGGGAAGACAGAAAGTTTAGATAGATGGATGGACACATACATACATCCAGGCAACCAGATAGAAGGTAATGTGGTCCTTAAAAAAAAGCCATGCCTGATTTTGTGTTAACTCTAAATCTTATCTTGTTTTTACTTGGAGAGATAGTAGGGGAACAAACTTTTCTATTGTCCAAAAGCCAAGCCCCTGTCCGATCTTCAGTTTCTGCTGGACTGCAGCTCACGTTCTCGAAAACGGTCATTTCCACATCGCTGGGTGGTTTTCTGTGCATGAACTAGGCGTGACTCCACACCCCAGTTGAACGGATGCTTTGTGTTACTTTCTTCTTGCTAACCAAGAATTCTGTGTTCTCTTGATATTATGATTAATTTTTATCTTAGTGGGCATTTATTTGAAGCTGTGAAAGACACAGCCCTCTTCTCCGAGGGAAGTCTGCTCTCCACACTAACCTCTCTTTCCTTTCTGCATCGTGCATCGCGTGTGGCTAACCTCCACCACTAACTGGGGCACTTGCCCGGTGGCCTCTGTTCTCCTTGCGTCTCTGCTGACCCTGTTCCTTTGTTTCTCTCTGCGTGTCCCGGCGGCGGGCTGTGTGGGCAGCCCTCGGAGCACAGCGGCCACCTCAACTCCAGCTCCCGCGCCTCCTCCAGAGCCAGCTCGGCACGGGCCAGCCCAGTGGTGAGTGCGCCTCCTGCTCTTCCTCCCATTCTGCTTCATTCCTTCCTCCTTCTCCCCTCATCTGCTTTGCTTCTCTGTCCCGTGAAAGGATCCCTCCACCTCAAAAGCCTCAACATGGAATAAAGTAGGAAGTCTTTGCCCACATTCATTTCAGGTCTAAGTAAAGACAGAATTGGGAAAAATGCTTCCAAATTTAGAATGTTGCTATTGCATGGCTAGTATCTAAAGGACCATGTAAGAAATTGTTCACTGTGCTTGGAGATGGGGGTCTTCCTGGAGGAGGAAAGCCTTGGACAGTGGGGGTGGGGGGTGTAGCCATGTGCATTGATGTATCTTTTTTATGATTTAAAAATTTGAAGGATTGACTTTTAACATTTTGTTTATAACATGTGGTCCTGGTGTTGGACCTAGACAGTTTCTAGAATAAAATGTGGTCCTGTCCGTGCCATGGCATTCCCAGCTCTGCTCCTCCCTCACTATCCCATTGATTCTAAAATTGTTCGGTATCTGTGAAACTACAAAACTGCACTCCTCTTTGTCACTCAGCATGAAATGACCCAAGTTGGCTTCAGAAAATAAGGGGCCCTGTTACCAGTCCCCATCCTTTAAGTGTCATTATTAGGTATTTTTCCTGGGATCTTTGGAATTTTAGACAGTTTCTCCTCACCTGATGCTTTATATGGGGCTACTATACAATGTTTATAAGGGTTTAGCAGGGCAGTTCTGCCTGGGGGACATTTGGGAATGGGGGGGGCTGGCGCAGTGATCAGGAAAAGGGGCGTTCAGTGGGCAGGAGCCAGGGGCTGTGTGCTATGCCGTGTGCATGCCAGCCCTGCGCCACGGAGGACCTCCACACCAAAGGCCAGTGGCGCCCTCCTCCATAATCCCTGGGTCGAAGGAAGCAAAGATGGGCAAAGCTGACCTCTTTTCTCTGCTCTAGTCGCAGAAAAGCTTGAATGTGGTTCTTACTTGCACATCACCACAGTCAGTCACGTTGATGTCCAAAATTTAGGAGGAGCCCCTGGTAATCGGAGAAGTCTGTGGAGCTGAAATCTCTCGCCCACACAGATGCACCTAGTTGCATGCTGATGATTTCTTTGTTTTGTAAATTAGATACAGTCTTTTAAAGCTGTGCGTTTTCCTACCAAATGCAGATAAGGCTTCTTCCAGGGAAGAGAGGGATACCTGGAAATGAGCCCGTATGGCTGGGTCAGGCGGCCTCCGTCCTCCCACGCCCTGCTTTGCCTGACTCCAAGGCCAAGGCCAGAGCCCTTCATCACTGGGCTTGCACGGGGGTTTTCCTGGTAGTAGAGAAATGTTCCTCTCCACCATGTCGTCATTTCTCCTTCGTTTCTCATTGAGAGGGAGAAAACAAAAGAGAGATCCAAAGGTGGGGTGTTAGAACGAGAGAGCCTGTTTCTCTGGGGAAATGAAGACTAACCCCCTCTCTGGAAGCCGCAGACACCACCTTTACACATTCAGTGCGCCCGCCCACCCTCACAGCCATTTGAGCCCCCCGCCCCCTTGGAGACCAGCGGTGAGGGGAATAGGAGAAGCCACGTCCTCCACAAGCTCAAGTGTGTGCGTGAAACGTGTGGTGGCAGACACCCCAAAAACCCCAGATGCTTGTCGCTCTGCCCAGAACCAATCAAGCAGGCATAGTAAGCTCTTCCCCTGTTCAATATCACGTCACTTCAGTTCTTAAAATCTGGCAGGTGTCTTCCTACGGCTATTACGTAAGTGACTGGCGGGCATTATCGGTGAACTGAGGAATTCCTGCTCACTGAGGTCAGCAAACCTGGCTGGCCCACAAGGGCGTGCCTTCCTTTAAGTTCGTCTCTTTCCGAGTATGTCATGCTCTGTGGTAGCAGTGTATACATAAGCCAATCTCTGTGGAACCTGACGACTATTAGGAATCAAAATTTTCCACGATAAGTCTAATGGAGAGTCACTGCTCCTTATGCGTAATACTCTCTCACGCTCACTTTTTGGAAAAAAATAAAAGTATTCACAGTTGACAGAAGGCAGGTCTGGCTTTACTTTCTAAGAATCCTAAACCCCCTGGGTACCTCTGCCTGGTGGGGCCCAGGTGGATCATGGGATTTCAATCCCCTGATTATTTGACATCCGTGGTTTATTCCAGTGTGATGATGAAGTTACAAAGTCACAGGGCTCAGTCTAGTTACTTTGAAAGAAGAGATTAAAATCAGCTACAAATTTCTTTGTCATACACTTTCTAAATGTGTAAAATATTTACTCACATGAAATGGTTTTAGTAGATGATCATAAACAGAGAGGCGAGTATTGACCGTGACTCCCTGGGGCCTGGTGACGAGAGGTGGGTGGTCTCTTTATAACTGTCTGGGCCCCTTGTCCTCGGGAGCTGGGGCAGGGGCTGCCACTTTCCTGCCAGGTGCCATCGTGGGAAAAAAGCAATGGGTGGAGGAGCTCTGGGGCCCTTCCAGTTCTTAGTAAAGCTCGCTCTCTTTTTGGTTCTCTGACTGTATAGCTGAGGAGACTTATAACTATGTTGCAGGTTGTTTCACTCTAAGTTCCGAGTGGAAGGTGGACTGAAGATTTCTGAGGACGCAAGACTGACAGGGACTGGATTGAGCTGGTTTTTCAGTTCATTCTAATCAGATAATCTGTTTAATCTTTTTTCTTCCCTGAGTCACCTGCTCATTTTCAAAGGTCGATTGATTGTTGTGCGGTTGGCACATTTGGTGAGCGAAGGTCAGCATCCTGCAGACTGTGTGGGGTGGGTCGTCCTCCCACCCCTTCCAGTCACCTCACACGGGTTGGGGACCTCGAAGCTGAGGATACCTCAGTGTGTGGTCCTTAGAACCACAGAGACATCTCTGGAACGTGCAGGGCAGTTCCCCAGGGGACTCAGTCACATTGGCTGTTGGTCCTCTCAAGGACGGAACACAGTCAGCATCTCTGTATCTGCAGAGAGTCGAGAAGACAGACCCAAGCTGGCCCTCTGTTCCGGGATTTCCAAAACTCGCGGTCTCCTACATGGAATCTGCACCATTTCTGTTTTCTGGGGAGCAGAAAATAGAGGGAAGGAGGGAGCAGTGGGGCCCAGGCAATGGGACAAGTGACCCTCCCAGCCTGGCCTCTCATTCCTGGCTGGGGACATCTGGCCAGGCACGCAGACTTCTTGGGCTCCCCTGGAAAGAGGGGGTAATGACACCCTTAAAAAACAAAACCAACGAAAAGGTCAGGCATTGTTAGCTTGTGTCTCCTCGCTGAGGGGGAGTCCTGGGGGGATGAGGCGTTGCTACAGTGCACTGTGGCTCTGGGAAGTGCCCTGTGGTCTGCTGCTCCATCGGGAATACAGATCCAGGGGGCAGTATGAGTGAGGACGGGGTCAGGGGTCTCCTGGGAAGGGGCAGCCCTGGAAGGCTCTTGGTATAGAAGGAAGGCTAATGTCCCAGGAGTGGCGGGAGGGGAGACTATTAAAGAGCAAAGTAACCAGAATGAAGGAAATGATAGCTTGTCCCACTTTAAGAAAATAAAGTTGTCTCAGCATCCAAAGACATGAAGTTTGCCCCGGCCCTTGGTCCTCCCAGCATCGTGGCAAAGAGGAGAGGATGCTGCCCCATCTCAGAAGGACATGTACTGTTCCACGTCCTCCTCATTTTTCCCATTCTACAGATGAACTGTATTTTCTTCTCCAACATGTCCAGGATCTTCTCCTCGAGGAAGTTGTGGTTGGTTCATTCAGCCAGTGTTTATTGAATACCTAGAATGTTCTAGGCATAAGGCTACAGCGGTGAGCGAACAGACCTGTGCCAGCCCTCATGGACGCACAGACTCGGGGAGACAGACACTCATCAAGCAGGCACACATACATGCAATATAAAACTCAGCAGGATGGGCTCCAAGGGGGAGACGCAGGAAGCTTCCAGAAAATTGGAACTGGGAGGTTTGAAATCCAGGCCTGAAGCACGCCCAAGCAGTGGGCCCCACCTGGTGAGGCCTCAGAACCCCGCTGGGAGTCCAGTAAAGCTGCCTCATTCTGAAACATCCATCAGGAATGTCCTCCGTGGAGCCCGGGCTCACGTTCCCTGAGTGTATTCAGACAAACATGAGCAATGAATTGGTACGTCTGGCCCATTTGAGCTAGAAAAACAAAAGACTGTAGAGACTCGTGTTTATGGGATATGAAAAGGGGCCAGATGGAAAAACGGGTCTTGAGTTATGAATGCAAGAGTTCAAGGGCAAGTCATTCAGGATAACGTCAGTATTATTGGATTTAAAACCAAAAATTTCCACTCTACTGGTAGACTCCGCTGCTGTTTATATGTGAAGGGAAATTCCCCTTAAAATGGGTGTTCCCTGAGCAATGTTCGCTCCTGTCAGTTTGTTTCTTGAAAGGGACCATGCGATGGCATTGCGTCTGTGATCCCCTTTCTCATCTGGGAGCTGGGATTTCCTGCCTGGAGGTTGGGGACACCATGAGGAAAACCTTTCTTTGTCCCTGGTCCTTCTGCTAGGGTATCTTAGTACCCCCATACTGTATTCTTCCCCAGGAAGGTGGGCAAGCCAGATGGTGATATGGAAAACCTGGAATTTTAAACCTTACCTGACATTATGTTTAAGCGAGGCTACGTAGTAAATTCATTTTGACACGACGTTAGAAGGTTGGAATTAATAAAATATTTCATGGGCTACTTTAAGCATCTGCTTTTGAAAGGAAGAGCTGCCGTCATTTACAGTTTCACAGAAATTTTTTAGAAGGGGCTATTTCCAGTCGATTTTAAAAGATGTCTTTGTATACATTCACTTGTGGCCACGAAATACTGGTGGACATATTTCATAGTATGAAGTTTTCACATTGACCCAAAATGTTGACTATTGCTCAGAAACTGAGAGTAATAAAGCTAATAGGCTGCAAGATATGTGGGGCTGTGGACCTTTCACAGATGAAGAGACCGATGTTCACAGAGGTCATGTGGCTTGTCCCAGCTCCCATGCTAGTGTGGGCTGGAGCGACTTGGAGCACGGGCAGCCGACGGCACCCCTGCGTCTCGCTCTGCTCCCTGTCTACCCCGTGCAGCAGCCGCGACAGTGTTTAAAAATCCTTTCGTCTACTCAGTTTCTTTGTATCTTATTTTCGGAGACAAAGTGCTGTTCTTTATGTCAAAATTAAACACCCTGTCTGTTTTACTTATCTTTTCCTTTGTTTAGGGGATGTCAGGGGTGCTTTACTAAAGTGGGTGCGGCTGCCTGGCCATGGAGCTCTGGGCCTGCCCCACTCAGCTCCACTCAGGCTGCCATCTAGTGGGAGCCAGGGGGACCTCAACACCATCCTGCTGCTGTGTCACTTCCAAGGGGCTCCAAGTACACATTTCAGGAAGGCTGACAAAGTCAGGAGTCCCTTGTAATTCAGAAAATTGACAAAGCGGCATTTACCCTAATAGGGGAAAACAGAGATTGGAAACGATAGTTAAGCGTAGATTGGCCAAAACTTTCCTTGAGAACTTAATTTTTTCGTGGGCCCAAGACAGGAAATGGTCATCTTTACAGGAGATCACTGCCTTTACGGTGTCCTGACCAGGTGCTTAGCACCTGCACCGTGGTGCTGTCCCATGCGCTGACGTCACTGTGGGCAGTTAACACATTCGCGAGCCGCTCTGCCGTGGCCTGGGACGCAGCTCCATCAGGATTCCCCAACCTGCAGTCGGGACCGTCTGTGGCATAAGCACAGAAGGGGAACTGCAGAGTCCCAGGTCCCCGATTAGGTCTGCTGAGTCAAAGATGGGATCTGTACTAGTCACGTGCATCTGCAGTGGGCTCCCTGGTGATCAAATCTAAGAACTTCTGAGCTACAGGCAGTAGGACTGGACACGTGATGGAGTCGTCAGCTTCCCCCAGAGAGTTTGGAGACACAGCTGAGCACAAGGTTTGCTCATCCTCTGTGACCTTCCCAGTGGGCTTGTGGAAGGGAGCTCTCAATGTGCCAAAAAAAAGGAAAAAGAAAAAAAAAGAAAAAGAAAGTTGGCATTTGTTGGATGCTGAGCGAAGAAAGAAGTATAACCAATGCCAGCCGTGGCCTGTTGACCCGAGACACCCTCACAGTGCAGGAATCTCCCTTGGAGTCAACACTTATGCACCCTCTTGGGGCTCCACATACTGCTGTGGGTCCCCTCGAGGCTCCTACCTGAGGGCAGGAGAGGAGGGCATCTCAGAGGCACGTCCTAATAGGAAAGATGTGAAAAGCCAAATTCTTGGGGTCCCACTTTCCACCTGGCAAATTCTTTTGTATCTTCCCCTGCCGACCAGCTCCCAGGATGTCTGGGCATCTCTCCCAAGATGTTTCGACCAGAATTTTCACATTGACTCAGTTACTCGGGAGAAATGGGAGAAGTTGTCATCGGCTCCGCTGCTTTCTCTTGCTCTGGAGAACAAGTTGAGTGACAGTCGAAATTAAAACTCTCTGTGGTTGCATCTTGCAGCCTCCAGAAGGCTGAGCATAGTCTCACTCTCTAATCCTAGTAATTGCAGTGGGTAAACAAATTTGGGGCTTGTTGTCCGCTCCCACACTGAGACCTACACAAAGAACTGTAAAAATCTCTAAAGTAAACCTATTCGAGTTTGATTCATTGACAAATCCCTCATTATGGATCTTTCTGTGATCAGTGTGTGCTTTGTTTAGATGTCATCGTGTTCCCATGGAAACTGTAAAAGTTGAAAAACCAGCAAAGTTCAGCCTGGCACCCTGAGCTACCCGCGGCTGTTTCTGTGTCTGCACTGCCTGGCAGAACATATCAGAGATTCTCCTTGGCAAAGTAGTTCTTAAATTACAAAGGAAGACAAAGTTTTATTTTATTATTGTCTACCCCCTAAATCCAGATTATCCATTTAATGCTTTTAAGTATTTAACATTTGTCCATTTTCCTCTCCAGGTTGAAGAGAGAGGAGAAAAGGATTTCACCGAGAAGGTAAGAAATTTTTCTAAGGCTTTATATTGTGTCATTTATAAACCACAAGGGTCCCAAAATGTATGGATGAAACTGACAAGAAAATATGTTGCTTGATCTTTAAAAAAAATGTTCACCAGTGAGTGAACAGGACTAGTGTGTGGCCCACCAGCAGGCGTCACATCCTTCGGGGGGTCCCCAGGAGTCACTCTCAGTACTGCAGCAGTGAAGGAATTTATGATGGGCTTGACATGGAGCTTAAGGTTGATCCAGACAAGTTCCCAAGCATCCATGAGGTCCCTCAAGGTGAGCCTCTCTTTACTGCTTTCTGTAAGCCCACTGAAAATTTTCTAATTTGGAAACTGAATTCAAGTAAAGGCACCATAATCGTAGACTTACAAGTACTTTGGGTTTTGTCTGAAATCTCTTTTGATCTTTCCAACATTCTAGGGGTCTCGTAGCCTGCCCAGCCTGTCTGCAGCCACACTGGCCTCCCTGGGTGGGACTTCCTCCCGGCGGGGAAGTGGGGACACTTCCATCTCCATAGACACGGAGGCATCCATTAGGGAAATCAAGGTAAGACTCACTTACGACTTAGAGGAAGCTTTAGGGAAATCAAGGTAAGACTCACTTACGACTTAGAGGAAGCTTTAGGAAAATCAATCTTCAAGTAAAACAAGATTTAATTTGTAAAATTCCAGATCTTTCTTCTTGGTCCCAATCTCTCCTACCTCCCACGCATGTGATGTTCTAATAACACCAATACCCAACTCAGTTATGGTCTCCTGCAGGAAGCCATCCCTGACTGCCCCACCCCAGCAGGGCAGACCTCTGCGCCCATGCGCCCTCTGCGCTCCCTCACTCTGCAGGCACACCTTGATGAGAGCCTCGCCATGCCATGCCACACGAGGTGCCAGCCCTCTGCACATCCAGCGTGCATAGGCATTCAGTCTAGATTTTTTGGAAACTGTTGGACCCCGGATTACTCTCTGCTCCCAATGACACTGAGTATTTTCCCACCACCTTACCCTGGGAGCTCCCTGCTCTCTGCCTAGAATGCACCGTTCCTCTCTATTTGTGGTATGCAGAAGGTGCCTTTAGTAGATAAACCATCATTGTGTTTTAGTTCTTCTCCTACTGGAACGTAGGCTTTATTCTCTGTTACATCCTTAACACTCAGCGTGGGGCCGGGCGCTTGGGAGCACTCTCTGCGTGTGAGAGAGAAATGCAATAGAGTTTGTTAAAAGTCACCGGGCACGTTGCATCGATGCGAAGGGAAGTTCAGTTCCTAGAATTTGTGTCCTGGAGAGCAGAGCCAAGGCCAGAGGGAGGAACTTGAAGATCAGATCTGGCTTCCTCTAGGGAAGAGCTTTCTAGTAAATAAAACTGGTTAAGAGGGGAACCGGCTGCCAGTGGTGTCTGGACAGCTGGATGACCATTTGCCAGGGGGGTCAGAGAAGGGATGTAAGCGTGAGCCGGGGGTTGGACTGGGTTCCCTTGAGGGTGCCTTCTGACTCCTGTGCTTTAGAAGAACAATTTTTTGGCCGCTCTTTGTTTATTCCTTTACTACATCGAAGCAGAGTTTGCTGCAGTCAAAGTTCATCTCTGCTCTTAGGTTGTGAGCGCCATCATTTGTTCGACGAGCATTTACTAAGAGTCTAGCTCACGCCAGGCACCAGGCACCAGGAATGTGGTGGTGAACAAGACAGGCAAAGCAGAGACCTGGAGCCCCGTAAACGCAGGGACAACTCTTGGCTGATTTCATCTTTAGTATCCTCTGCATCTTGCACAGAGTTGGAACTCACAGAGCTTGGACGATCTATTAAATAGGAGTCAAAGAACTTGTCCCATTTTCGGAAGCTCTTTGGCCTTGTTTTATAAAATTGTGCAAAAATATCATAGGAGGTGCACCTGCATTTTATTAAAATTGTGTGAAAATATCACGAGATACGCCTAAAGTTTAATCTTTGTAATATTGAAATTTATTTTAATTTCTTTTAACACTTAAAAAAAGAAAAGGAAAATTTCTGCTCGGACTACCCAAATTAGGGGAACTACCCAGAATTAGAAACGATTGAGAGCCTCGCCTCCCTTTCTTTGTGGTCTCGGTCAGGTTTTCCTCCCTTGATGTCATTTGCCTTTTTTGCCGTTTCTCCCAGGAACTGAATGAGTTAAAGGACCAGATTCAGGATGTAGAAGGCAAATACATGCAGGGATTGAAAGAGATGAAGGTACCAGTTTGCAGAAGTGTGGGTTTGTGATATTAACCCAACTTAACTTTAAAAATTCCAAAAGAAGAGCTTAAAACTGCATGCTTACTCAAAAGAGGCTCCAGCCTGTAGAAGAACTCACAATGGCAGGAACACTAACTAGCATCGGCGTGTGTGGTGTGTGTGCATCGTTTTCCCAAACACAGCTTTTGAACCAAGACTTGAAAACTTTAATTCCTCCATAGAAAAGATACTAACATATTTCCTGGTGCACGTCTTGTACTTGCCATCCCTCCCCCGGCTGAAAACCAGTTTCCCATTTCACACAGAAGCTTACCATCCACTTGCAGAAGGATTTTTCGTTTTCTTCACTTTCCGTAGTAGTTACGTACAAACGATGCCACGCTTAATTTGCTTCTCAAAATATCTGACGCCTACCAATAAGGCAGTCCTTATTGCTATGCTTTTGAAACATCCAAACTATTTGCATCCTGTAAAATTTTACTAGTTGAAGCAACGTCTGAATGTGCTTCGTCTCGGATTTATTTGAGTAACTACACGCTACTTTTAGAATGTGGAATTACCGCGTTGTGCCAGCCAGGAAATTTAGTTGTCACATTCCTTGAAGGTAAGGTGAATAGTCAGAGACTGTGTTCTCTGTCTTCATTAGGCAGCTTATGGCAGATTGTGGATCTAGCAATAGATGGTAAAGCTGGTACTTCCTTTTCAGCTCTCCGGAAAGTACCTGAACAGTGGTCTGAGCTCAGTGTCACAGGGGCACTAAATAGGGGATATTTTTGTTCTAACATGACTACTTAATCACTTTCGTATTTGTCACCTCTCTTTAAAAAGGGGGAAAATTGGGGCCGGCCCCATGGCAGAGTGGTTGAGTTCGCATGCTCTGCTTCAGTGGCCCAGGGTTTCACTGGTTCGGATCCTGAGTGCAGACACGGCACCACTCATCAGGCCATGCTGAGGCGTGGTCCCACATAGCACAACCAGAGGCACTCACAACTAGAATATACAACTACGTACTGGGGGGCTTTGCGGGGGAGAAGAAGAAGGAAAAAAAAAGAAGATTGGCAACAGATGTTAGCTCAGGCACCAATCTTTAAAAAAAAGGGAGGGGGGACTTATGACTCTGGCCTTCAACTCATGTGAAAAGGGAGCCAGTGAACAGCCCAGGAATCACTGGTTCCACCTAACGTTGTTACCCTGTTTGCAGGTGTGGGCGAGACCAGCACTGGTCTCTGTGAAGCCTCCCCATGACACCTGCCACACCTAACCAAGCAGTGGGGTGGTTTCTTTAGCTGGGAGTAGTTTACCCCCAGGATTCTGCTCTCTGTTCTCCTGGAGACGCCCGCCCCTGATGTCTATTTTGGGATCTAAATGCTACTGTGCTCTGTTGCCTGGCCTGCGAGGCTGTGTGCCCCAGAGGGTCGTGTTTATTTTGCAGGCCTCTTTCCCCCAGCTGTCCTTTCAGAGGAATGACCTTTGTCTTCCCAGGACCTACCCAGTGAGGCCTGTGTACCTTGTTGGGTTGCCCTATGAGTCGTAAATCTGAAATTCCACTTCATCCTTTCCTGGTTCATAAGCCCAGATGGGGGTAGTCGGCGGCTTGTGGCAGGCGTTTCTGTTCTTTGAGCCACCACGCGCTGGCACTTTCCCAGGTCTGGCCACATATCTTGAGTGACTACTTCAGAAACTTGTTGAACAGCCCAGCCCACTCCAGTGGGCCACTGAATCATGCGGTGAGGACTCCACGGCCTCTGTGACAGAACCCTTTCCGTCCGTGTGTCTCCCTTGTCCTGGTGACCACATGAATCGTTTTCATCCCCAGACACAGTTATTAACTAATTTTCTGAGGGATGAGAATTTGATCAAATCGAAAAGGGGATATTTCTCTGCATTTGAAATTGCTGTCTGTTTCCAGTTCTCATTCATTTGCTCTAAGAAATAAAGTCTAAATTTAGGGCTGAATTTTGTCTGTTTAAGAGTACCAAGCTAATCTTTGTTTTTGTTTTCTTCCTACTGTTTCAAAATTCTGACCTTGTTCCTGCAGGACTCGCTAGCGGAAGTGGAAGAGAAGTATAAGAAGGCCATGGTGTCTAATGCTCAGCTAGACAACGAGAAGACAAACTTCATGTACCAGGTTGACACCCTGAAAGATATGATGCTGGAGCTCGAAGAACAGCTGGCTGAATCTAGGCGACAGTATGAAGAGAAAAACAAAGTAAGCTTTAGGATGAGAAAGAATGGTAGAATATACAGGTAAATGGTATATATAAGAATGGTAGGACATATATAAATAGTATACATGAGAATGTTAGCATATATAGTCGTGCACTGCATAACGATGGGGTCACGTTCTGAGAAATGTGTCATTAGGTGATTTCATCCTTGTGTGGAAATCACGGAGTGCACTTACACACACCTACATGGTATAGCCTGCTACCTACCTGGGCTATATGGTACTAATCTTATGGGGCCACTGTTGTATGTGTGGTCCATCATTGACCAAAATGTTGTTATACAGCACATGACTGTATGTAAATAGATATATTTGGTATATGGTATATACATATATGATGAAGATGGGGGGTGTGTGTGTGTGTGTGTATATGTGTATGCATATAATGGGTTTTTTTTTAAACAATGGTTCTCCACTTGTCCAGGAAGCTGAAACATCTGAAAATAAGAACCCCATGCTCTTTGCTGAGGGACTTGAAATATTGATATGCACAATTTCCATACATAAACTAGAGACTGTTTTTCGGAGAACATTTATGTTTTGCATGTAAAGTCAAGTCATGACCCTGAAAACACATGCCTGCGAAAGAGCTGGCGTGCTTAAAGAAGGCAGGATTGCATGCTCCAAGATTTTCCCGTTAATCTACATTTCCTGATTTTTATTTTCCTATCTCTTAATACCATAAAGAAACAGTCAATTGCACATATCAAAGATTTTAAGAAACGTATATTCATTTATTTTATGCTTCTTGGGAGAAGACACAATTACTCCATTTAAGAATTAAACACCTTCATGAAGCTCAGAGGGGGGAGAGTCATATTTGGGCTTTCGTTAAGAAGCACTGGAATTAATGTGTTAAGTTATGGTATCAGCAAAAAGCATGAGCGTGCGTTGAAATGAATGACAGTAGCCTGATTAGGTGAACCCTGGGCTTAGATCTTCATTGTGAGATCCAGAGCAAGGAGTACTTGGTTTTCATAGTTTTAGGAATTAGTTGGTTTACCAAACCCTAGAGTATTGTCCAACTTTTCAGAGTTGCTGAGATAAATAGAAAATTTAATTTGTGAGTGTCATTATCTTTAAAAAAACAAACAAACTGGCTCTATCCTCTAAATCCCGAGGGTTAAAACCAAGGTACCATGAACACTCAAAAGCCTCCTTCTTTGACTGCTGTAGAATTAAGTGAGAAGCTAAAGAATTTTATCCATGAAGTTCCTGATAGCTGAACTCTGAAACAAAGGAGAAGGTTTTCATGAGACCCGATGTCCTGTTGGGATATAGGAGCAGAGAGCATATCCTGAACTGCGCTTGGGTGGGAGGGCGCTGTAATGCATTCTACATACTCCTAGAATGTCCTCATTTGGGCATCAGTAAGTAGACCAAGGACCTCCAAATCTAATTCCAGAGAGGTTAAATGATGCTGGAATGTTGTCCCAAGCTGGGGCCATGGGCCAAGCAAAACCCAACAGGGAGGTCCTTGTCACAGCTAGGAGAATACCAGTCACCCCCAAACTTCAGAAAGTGGGTGAGCAGACGGTGGATGCTAGGGTGAGGAGCTAAGGTCAAATCTCTTCTAAAATAAGTCAGCTAACGGATCTAGGGAAGGTGTACCTTGCTGTCTCCTACACTGCTGGCAGTTAGTTGGGTACCAAACCATCATTAGGGACTGCGCTGCTGGGACAGAGCTGAGCGGGAGACCAGAAGAGCTGTGGTGATGGGTGGCTGGAGTGAGTCTCACAGAGGGGAGGGACGGCCTAGGGGAGCAGCTTTGTGTTGGCAAGTGCTTTACTTCCCCCACCTTTTCTGTGTTGTCCCTGGAGTATAGAGTTGGCCATCCACTGTTCATGAAATAAGCTTGCCAAAGGAGACCATATTTATCCCCCTTGTCATCCCAAAGGATAAATCCTTCGCAAAGCTGCCTCCTTCAGACCCTGAGAACAGACAGCCCTCTTTACTACCCCAGGCATCCTGGAGAGGGACCCTTCCTTGCTTGCTTAGAGAGAAATCAAGAAACACTTGTTGGTTGTATCAACTCCTCGGGTTAAATTTATAGTAAATCATAGGGGCATCTTCTAGAAAGTCCAGAGAAATGGGTTTGTGCTGTTAAAAAGGCCTTGAAAATTGTAATGATATGGTAAAAGGTAATTTGTTACAAGGCAAATGTAAATCATGGGAACAGTTACAAGAATGACAGAAAAATGTGATTCTGCTACAACCTTAGTACTCTTTTCCTTTTATAGGAATTTGAAAGGGAGAAGCATGCCCACAGTATACTGCAATTTCAGTTTGCTGAAGTGAAAGAGGCCCTGAAACAAAGAGAAGAAATGCTGGAGGTAGATTGCTTTTTCCTCTTTTTCTTTGTCTTTTGTGATTTAGGAGCATTTGGTTGGTTCCTTACTGAAGTCACCAGTTTTCTTGAAAATTGAGAATTTAGGCTAATTCTCCATGCCTCGCTTAAGAAAACAGTCCCTTCCGTTAGTGAAGATCCTCATTCATTGATGCTTTTGTGTTTGTTTAGGGAGATGTGGTAGACAGAATAATAGCCACTGAAGACGCCCCTGTCCTGATCCCAGAACCTGTGACTGTGTTACCTTACACAGCAGAAGGGACTTTGCAGATGTGATTAAGGACCTTGTGATGGGGAATCATCCTAGATTATCCGAGTGGGCCCATTGTGATCACAAAGGTCCTTATAAGAGGGAAGCAGGAAAGTCAAAGGCAGAAGTAGATGTGACCACGGAAGCAGAGGCCATGGAGGAAGGGGCCATAAGCCGAGGAATGTGGGCGGCCTCTAGAAGCTAAAAAAGGGAAGGAAATAGATTCTCCCCCACAGCTTCCCGAAGGGAACACAGGCCTGCCTACACCTTGATCTTAGTGCCTAAGACTGGACTTCTAAGCTCCAGAACTGTGAGAGGAGAATTTGTGTTGTTTTAGGCCACTGAATTTGTGGTAATTAGTTGCAGTGGCAATAGGAAACTAATTCAGGGTTGATTTTTAAACTTTTTAACTTAATCAGAACGTTAGTACCTCCAAGTAAGAATTTCACTCAAGCAAGTTTTCTTCGAACGTTTCTTGAAGCTGGGGAGGAAGGACAAGGAAAGAGTCCTAACACGCCAAGAGAGGACTCAGGATCAAGGAGATGCAGTCGTGCTGGTTCCCACACATGTGTTTGTTGGCTCACTGACTGTCAGAGCTCCCAGACTATCTAGAGTTTCTTCCTGTTTAACCCTTTATCTGCTTGCTTTCTATCTGTTCCTATTCTTCAGGAAATCCGACAGCTACAGCAGAAACAGGCAAGTTATATCAGGGAGATTTCTGATCTTCAGGAAACAATAGAGTGGAAAGACAAAAAGATAGGGGTAGGCCTTCCAAGTCTTTGAAAATCTGTTCAAACGGGCAGTCTGCTTAGCGGATTGAGTGCTTTCAGCATCTTGAATTTGCAGAAACGCTTGTGTGAGCATGCATGCAACCCCCATGTGACACAAAACTAATCACACTGTGAAGACGCCCACTTACCCAAGTGAATATTAACTCTGAATTGGAAGTTGACTTTCAATGTGCAGATTCGCATTTTGTCAGCATTGACGGGCTCTCTGCCCGCTGTGAGTGGGCCGGCGGCACACTGAGATATGAGGAGTGAGGAAGGGAGGTACTGGGGTGGGTGTGGTGTGTGGAGACCCAAACCTCTTGGAATTCCTGCCTGGTGTTGCCTTAGTCTTCTTCTCAAAGAGGTTTGAGGAAGCTACAAAGTGGCGGGTGCTATGTCCCCCGTATCCCCACCTTGAAATCTCCCAGGGGAGGCCTCAGACCCTCTCCCTCCACAGGAAGAGGCAGCCCACCTGTATTTAGGGGTGAGGAGGAGGAAGAAAGGAACCCACGTAAAGGAACTGCTATGCTCCGTAATGACCAGTGGCTTCCAAGACATTGTGACTTGTACTGCATGGCTCTGATAAAGATCTCCAGATGTTCTTGCCCATCATTGTCCATTTACATCTCGAAGCTGCACCTTGTTTTCACGTTGATATGCTCATCCACACTTATTTAGGATTTTGTGAGCGTGTGCGTGTGTGCTTTAGGACCACTTTATGTTTATCTGTGACAACAAACACTGAGAATCAATATAGAAAAGTAGTCTAAATTGCTAAAATAGTTGTCACTTGGGGGTTCTCAAGCATTTCCTCTTATTCTTTATTTATCCCACATCTCAGTGGGCGTGTCGCTTCTGTTACTTTTTTAACACAGTGCTGTGAAACCACCAACTAAGCTAGAAAATGATGCAAGCCACGTGGCCTCCGGTGCCTTCAAAATGTGACCGTCTTGCAGGGAGCATGAAGAGTCATGTTTCTTGGCTGGCATAAACTTAGTGAAAAGCTTGTTACTTGCATTTTGTTTGTATCTTTAAGCAGATTCTATCTAATGCCTTAAGCCTGTCTGTGTTTTATGTGTAGAAGGTCCTCCTTATTCCTGCTTCTTAAGTCACCTGCTTACCCGTGCGAATCTCCTCTCTCTCTTTGCTCTGCCACACACTCAGGCATTAGAGAGGCAGAAAGAGTTCTTTGATTCCATAAGGAGTGAACGAGATGATCTTAGAGAAGAAATAGTCACGCTGAAAGAGGAATTCAAGGTAGGAAGCCAAAATATAGTTTAAAAATAAAATCCAGTTGACAACAGCAAATTCTGGGATTCCCAAGAATGGATATGTGTGTATGCTCGCGTTAATTAATTTTACGTCACTGATTTTAGTTCTGTCAATAAATTCGAATCTTAGGTTAACTGACACCAATGGGACATATGAAGTAAATATAGATTCAATGGGGTATATGCCCATCGCCTTTAGATCTTTACAAGCATATCTGACCTTGAAATCAACTCTGATTTCCAAGAATTTTTTGATATACTGTTTAAATTTTTTCTCATATTCATTAATAAATTCTCTAGGACATTGCTCAAATTTAAGGACTTCTCTGGCTGAACATGGGTGAGGCTCATAGTAATTAGACTTTGAGATCCACTGGATTGTAGGAAAGTTCCATGTCCTGTCTGGGCCATGTCAAGGGATGTTCAGCTGCTTGCTGGACACTGAGTAAAAAAAAAAAACCAACGGGCAGCAGTGGGAGCCAGAGCTGTGGGTAGGCTGTCAGCACTGTAGGAGGCAGTGTTGAGAGAGGGTATGGCCATGGCAAATTCCTGCATTGTGAATGGAAACATATCAAGTTCGGCCACCTCTTCTGTTCAGGGGTCAAGGCCAGAGCAGTAAACCAGAGGGAACAGGCTTAGGGCTCAGGTTCCTAAAGCTGCTCCTCACTGAGGCCGTGCATCCAGCATTGGAGAAGTCTCCAAGCACAAGAGAAAGACCTGTGAGCGGCCGGGGGCAGTGAGTGAGTGACCGATGATAAGGTAGGGATCCTGGAGTCGTGAAATGTAGCTGTTTTAAAATGTTTCACTATGTAGTGAGTGTGAATTATATTTCTTTTGAATATGCCAAACATTCTAGCCACTTCTTTATTCCTTCTGTAACATAAGTTTCCTTCATTCCTTTCAGGACATATACATACTTCTTTCTCTATATGGGTCTCTCTTTTTAAAGAATACAACCAGGGTTTGAAAAGTAAAGGTCACTTTACAGTGATTTACTTGATGTTCCACTTTGGGGCAGCCCACAGGCCATTACCTCCAGTTAGAAAGGATGCCTGTTGAAAGCGTCTTGTCACCAGTACATTAAGACATGGATTGGAACATGTAAGAAAGAAGTAACCCATGGAGGAAGTCATCTTAGATTTGTGTGTTTTGATGGAATACTGACCAGTGTGGTGCCTGACACTTCTTTGACTCTGTAGGATTTTCCTCTACTTCAGGAGAAATAGTTTTTTTATTACTATTATTATTATTATTATTATTATTAATAAAATAGAGTCTAACCTGATATCACTCAGTGAGTATTACGATGAGCCTGTTTTTATTCCCAGAAACATGGAATAATCCTAAATTCAGAAATAGCTACCAATGGAGAGACTTCAGACACTCTCAATAATGTTGGAGCCCAAGGTCCCACCAAGATGACAAAAGAAGAGTTGAACGCCCTCAAGGCGACAGGGGATGGGACCCTAGGTAAGTCCTTGTTTTCCTCTTCCAGTCTTGTTTTCCTCTTTCCGTCTTCCAGTCAGCACTGGGTCACCTTCCATGCATTATTAGAATTGGAGTACTCATCACTGATCAATTAACAATCACACAGCATGCCATTTGTTCTGTCACTTCATGGGAATCTCCTTCCCAAACGATGTGATCACCCATGTGTGTTGTCTGGCCTGCATCTCTGTTCAGTGCTCACCACCGATGGCTTAAGAACACGTTTCTTTTGCTTCTCAAAGCTACTAAGTGAGACTGTGAATGCAAGGAAAATAGTCTCAAATTAAGTGACAGTTTCGACAGTGCTGTTTAGTTTTGCTCAGATATGTGCCACGTACGGCTTTTTAACTTATTCCATTACAGAATTGTCAAAAAAGATCAGAATGACGGGGGCTGTAAAGTAGGTTAGTTGACCATGTTTACAAGCCAACATTGCACATCCTACACACCGTTAAGAGTTTTGAGGGTATGAGGTGTCTGTGGACAGCAGATTGGGGCCTGTGACAGAGTATGTCTTGGCAGGTAGCCGTGGGTGGGGAGCGTGGTGCGGGTGGAGGGTGTTCCTTACCAAGGAGAGTCTGTGCCTGTCCTTTTGACAGGGGGATGTTCCTTTGTATGTCAAACTTTTGCTTCTGAAAGAATATAAATTGGAAAATCCAAAAGATTGTAGGAGTCTTTGGCGCAATTTGCAAATATCTGAAAAGATTCACTCATTAATATTTGTCATAATATTTGGCTTTGGGATAAACCTTCAGAATGTGTTGTGCAGCCTGAAGTTGCAGCCTGCGAATAAGAGCTCACTTGCCCCTGGTTCCAGTCATCTTCCAGCTCTTCACAGTGAGGCTGGAATACGGTCAGGGCCCATGACTTTGATGTCCATTTGGAAACTTTCTTTTTATTTCTTTTTATTTATGCAAATGTGGAAACCTGTAGGCCCTAGCTTCTCAGGACTTGCTTCCTAGGGAGGCGCTTCCCTATCTTTATGACCATTAAAGGAAGACAGGTCTTTTAATTGTGTAAAAGTTGCTGAAAGAAGATAAACGAATTTCCACCATACCTTTATATTAGCTACCTGGGCAGCTAAGAATTTGATCGTGCTGCTTTTGTTCAAATATACATTTTCTAAATCTTCAGTAACTGTTGTGAAATGAATGCTTAAAGAACCAGAAATATCATTTTGTAAGTGGTCTCCTAATGTTTTGGATCACATATCCTTATCTGTAAAGGATTGTGGTAACTTCTCAATATATATGTTTATTTTTAATTTACATACATATACTATCTCGTTACTATAAAATGTACATTATAAAACATATGCACTAATAAAATTTTTAAAAGGTGAAGTAAAGTTAGCTTTAAATAGACATGCTGCTAGTTTCTCCATTTTCCCTGGGGTAAGTGCACCCCACTATGGAGACCATTGAGTTCTAGAACTATCAAGCTTTGACTTTTTTGTTTGGAGAATCTAAAATATGACTGTTCATTCCAAAGCAGTAACATGTTCTTTAATTCATAATTCTTTAACTGATGAATAACTTATTATTAATTAGGTGGTCATCTTGATCTTAAGCATGTGCCTCCTGCTGGAACTCTCCACATTCCCTTAGGGAATGGAGCCCAGGTCTTTAGGGCACAGGCTGTTTTCTCAGGAAGACTGATTAGGTGGTGGAGAGTAAGTTTCTTTTTTCCTTAGATGAGCTATTTCAGAAGTATCATCCTTGAGGTTGACCTTGAGGCTAAGTTTCTTAAGATGAACTGGATGTTCCTTTAAACAATTACTTGAAAGCACCTTTTGGGGCTGGGTGATACGCAGTGCAGCTTGACAACTGAAAAAGTATGAGTTGTCGAGATATGCGTTGGGAAATGAGAATGGGGAACAGGAACCTCAAGTCCTTCTTAAACCCATCATTTTTGATTGTTTGGCTGCCTGGTCCAGAGCTCTTTCTATTTGTTAAAACTTAACTTCACCTTTGAAAATCATTTCACACAAAATGGCACCAGCAGCCGCTCTTGCCTTTGCGATGGTGGCGGCGGCCTCCGCTGATCAAACGTTTGCTAATGCAGTGGCTGCTTTGCCGCACAGAACTGAGAAAGGCTTCTGTTCCGTGTGATTCTTTGATGACTCTCTCTGTCTTTAGGAATGGGGTCGGGTGGGAGTGAGGACATGTGTTTACATTGTAATTATATGTTAACTGGTCACCACATCATGGGGTCCCTTCAATTTTCTCAATGGTCTTTTAGGAAGAGCCAATGAAGTGGAGGTGAAAAATGAAATTGTGGAGAATGTGGGGAAAAGAGAAATCTTGCAGAATACTGAGCAAGAACAGCACAAAGAGGACCCAATAAAGGATTATGTGGACACAGAGGTGTTACATCCTGGTGAAAATGCTGAGGACCAGAAACCCTCTGAAGACAGTGCCCCCTCCCTAGGAACGTTAGCAAATGCTACCGATGAGGAACAGGTTCAAAGCCAAATTCTAGAGAATGCTTCCTTCCTTGAAAATACAGAGCAGGTAGAGTCAAACGAGGTCCTAAACAGGCCAGATGATAGGACGGAAGCATCCGTTGAGGAGTCCAAATGTTGGAGTGATTTAGATAGTGAAATCCCAGGGCCTGTGATTGGGCAGGATGGCTGTAATACCTTGGATATCGAAAACCAAAGTAAAGAATCTGCAGAAAAACAGGAAGAAGAAAAACAAGAAGACTTTAAAACCAACTTGGGAGATGTTAGCGTAAAACCATCTCAGGAATCTGCTCCTTTGCAAATATCTGAAGTTGAAAGGGTGAGCGGTACAGACACTGGGGAGCAGAATGGGAGCCCCACAGAGGGTGTGATAGAGGCAGGGCTAACTGGATTTGAGGAGCGAGTGGGCACAGTAGCCTCGAGTCCTCCAAGGGACAGCAATGACACCGAGAGTCATGATGAAAAATGTGTGGTAGATGCCCCCAAAGAGTTGGACCCAAGCACAGGGCATGATTTAGAGAAAGAACTCACCAACCAGGAAGTGGCTGAGCCCAAGGAAATCCCAAGTCAGTACGCAGAAGTAGGTGGGGAGAACAATGAAGAAGAAGATGACGGAAGGGAATTGAGGGGTGAGAAACCAATCCAGATGGAAGTCCAAACCATCCCGTCTTCTCCAGCAGCCGAAGACAGTGCTCAGCAAGCAACAGGTCCACGTATGGTAGATGCCGAAAGAGAACCCCTAGATATGAAAGAAGCCGATGAAGAAAAGAGTGACCAACAGGGGGAAGCATTGGATTCATCACAGAAGAAGACAAAGAACAAGAAAAAGAAAAATAAGAAGAAAAAATCACCAGCCCCTGTAGAAACCCTTAAAGACGTTAAGAAAGAGTTAACATTTCAGAATCCAGATTTACGTGAAGTTAAGGAAGAAGAGCAGGTCAAATTTACTGACGAAAAACCAGTTGTAGAAGCACAAAATGAGGTCAGTAAAAATCCAGAACAGAAAACTGTAGCAGGAAACAGTGAAAATGTGGATTGTCCAGAAAATCCTAAAATTGAGTCGGATGGAAACCTTAACCAAGAAGATTACGATGTAAACACTAAAGCAGGGAAAGTAATAGCTGATGGAGACACATTAAATTTTGAAGATGATACAATTCAATCACCAGACACTAGTGATAAAGAATTAGATGAAAGTGTTATAAAAGATGATGCTAAAGCAGATGGCGCCACTCAAAGCCATCCTCCAGAACCAGAGAAGGAAGAAGCGTCCGACAGCGCCCTGCTCGAAAATGAAAGTCCCTCAAATGACATTAATGATGCCTCTCAAACAGAAAGTACAGAGGGGCATGTAATGTCAGAATATCCAAGTCAGATAGTCGGGAAGATTTCAGATAGCAATAGTCTAGAAAACGATGAGTTGGCACTGGCAGGAGAGTTGCCAGATTCAGAAATCGGAGAAGAGATAAGAGGCAGAAATGAGAAGGGCAAAAGCAAAGAAGACTGCTCCTTGTCATAAGTTGAGGCTTGCTTGTAAGGCAAAGTTCTAGAGAGGGGCCAAGCCTGCACAGTAAGTCCAACTGTAAAGACCCTTGTCTGTTATCTCCACTGGTGAGATGCAGAAAATGTTCTAGATGGATATAGATGCACCATATGACAATCAACCACCGAATTAGATACCTACTTTAAGTTATAGCCTGTTACTTGTAGATTTATATTTCATCAGTAAGTTATCACCCAGATTAGGAAGACACATTTGTTATCAGTGTAAGTTCTAATCGAGAGCATTCCAGTAGTATCAAACAATAATGTACACTGTTTAGATTCCTGCCTGAAATCAAAGAAAAATATTTAGCCTTTGCCTTTAACTGATATGAATGCGGATGTTCCTGAGCAAATACGTCGCATCTACTTAAAATGACCAAATAGCATTCTATTTCCACATGATGAGCATAATTTAATTTGTCTCAGTCAAATTTATGTACTTTCATATTTGATTTTGATATGTACTTTATAACTCGTATGGTATTTTATTTTAAAAGGAGATAAATGACCAACTAGCATATAGGGTGCTGAGTGATAAGATTTGCACCTTAGGACAATAATGAATCATATTAGCGAGGTCTTACGTGCCTTTACCTCATGGAAGTATTCTGTCTTAAACCAATATTTTTGGATCTCATTGTTGACAGTTCCTCAACTTATTTTGTAGATTTTGACTTCACTTCATGGTGGTTATGCACCAAAGTCATTTTATACAAAGATTTTAATTTTTTCCTGGAAGAGACATACATTGAAATGGCATTTCCCACTGGAGTATTTGGGTGGGGAGAATCATACCTAAAATTCATTTTTTTAACCTTAAAATGATTTCTTTATTTGTCTACTCCTTGTTCAGAAGAGCAATTCAAAAGGTTCATGTTCTTATGCAAACGGCTAATTAGACTGTAACAGGATATTTTAAATAGTTGACTCCCTTTGGGTATTTTGGTATAAATATTTTTGTTTGTTGTTTCTCCATATGTTCTTATCGGAAAATTCTTGTTTTGATCTTTCTGAAGGAAATATATATTCTTTATATAAAGAAGCAATTAAAAAGTAATTGTGAAGTTAAATCAAAAAAATAATTGTCAAAGACTAAAATGACAAGGAAATGTACGTTATGAATGCTGTTGACAATTTATGAGAGTACATGAATTCATATTACTGTTACAAGATATCATTGAGTGCAAAAAAGACCAAAACCTCAATAAAATTTGAGGCAAACATAATAAGTGTTATTATGTAATTGAAATAAAAACATTTTGTAATTTCACAGCCTGTGATTCCACTCTTTGGGCCAGTTGAATTCTGACTGTGGCTACTGCTATACCTAATATCATCTTTAAAGTGCTGCCTGCTTCTGGGTTGCTCATTCCCATTTGGGGTTCTGAGAAGGACTCACACCTTATGCCCTTTGCCAGTAATGAGTGAACTTCTCTCCCGGCGTCTAGACCCAGGCTAGTGTTGGACCACCCTTGGAAGAATTGAGAACATCTTCCCTCACAGCATCTCCTGTGATCGGTGGTTCTCATGAGGAGCCCATTAAGAAGGATCTCCATGCTGTTGCTCTGTTCCACATGCCAATACTTAGAGGGTTTTGGAGAGTATAATGAAAATGGCAAATAAACATGACTATTTCTGTGTAAGTGTCCTAAAATAGAGGATAATGAGACTGACAAATCCTCTCCATTCTTGCCCTATAAATAGAGAAATATGAGGCTTGCTAGAGATTCAAATTCAAGGGCTGCAGAGGACTTGCACAGGTTTTAGTTGACGTCTCTAACTTTAGCAAAGCTGCATTCACACTGGAATGCACATGGGGAAACAGCCCTCTTTCCTACTTCTAAAGGCCTCTGGGGAAGTGATTCAGCAACCAAACTCACTAAATGGTGAAATCATCAAACCATTTTAAGTTCTTTCCCTTCCCATGTTATTCAACAGCACATTTTAGGACATTATGGTCTACTTCTCATCCCTCAAGTCAGCCATCCAGAATCTCAATTATTCACTCATTTGTGTAATTAATAAACATTTTTGATCACTTTGTATATGGAAGGCACTGTACTAGGGAACAAGCAGACAGGGCTCAGCTTGTAGTGGGAGTGGACAGCTGAGAATCAGGAAGTGAGCAAAAAATGTAGAAGAAAATGAGGATTCTGAAGAGCCAAACCATTCCTTGATAATCTAAGCGCCTTCATTGGGAACAATTACTCTGCTCCAAGGGCAAAATGACATTACAGCTCAGCACAGTAATTGTTGCTCACATGAAGGGCCTTAAATTATCAAGAAATGGTTGCCGTAGGCATATTCAGTTTAAGAAGGCATGGAAGTGTATAAGGCAATTTGGAAGGTTCAATGTCAAAAGATTCAGACTCAGAAAACAATTGAAAGATTACCTGTCAGCCACATCCCCAGAGGCACCTGGACCACTGAGGTTTCACCATAATATAGAACAGAGAGAAACACTGACTACTGACACCTTAAATCAAAAAGCTGGGATGGTTTTCAGCCACAAACCAGAACATGCTTACTGTATGTAAAACGTAAATCTTCCTTCAAAAGTATAATGAAGTATAATAATGCATGTATGTAGAAAATAGGGAAAGTTAGAATTTTGAATGATGTTATTTGATAAACATATAAAGGTTAGGAAGCAGTTAAGTGTTTGAAAGAGATTTTAAGAATGAGATGCGTTGACCACTTGCTATAATGTTTAGTATTTCCATTTAACGGAAAACCTAATGACCTGAATATTTAAGTTTCCACTGTCACTAGGAGCCTGGAATGCTCCTTTTGTGGATTTACAGTTTGGGTTTGCTGTCTTCTGTTAATAGACTCCTTGTACAGCATGCCACCACGGCCATCGAAACAACAGTAAGATTCGTTCTAAGTGTCCAGGCTCCAAGAGGAGAGGAAGGAGTGTTTGTGTGTGTGTTGCGTTCAGAATATGTGCTTATTCAGCGTTATGGTCATAGAGAGAGAAAACTTCGTCTTTCAGAAGAAAACCCCTTTCGCTCTTGCCCTTACACCCTATCCACTGCCCCTCTCACATCAAAGACTCACAGAGTTTTCGAGATTGAATGGCTTCAGCTGTTCAGCTGAACTGAAGCCGGCGGCGGCTGATGTCGGGAAAGAGTTCCCATCTGTACAGACCTCTTGGGCCGTGTAATTGGAGAAAAAGAATCGCCTTTAGCAACCCGTCCCTGTTCTACCTTTTGCAGGAAGGAGCTGCTATCCTGTGATGGGAGGCTGGTCCCAGCGAGGGTCGAAACTGTCCACGTGAATTATAATCGAACTTACTTAGAGGAGGGAGTAAAGAACTGTACTTAGTGAGAGACCTCAGTGTCCCCCTCTTTGTCTTTGCCAATACGCAGGGGATGGTGACTTTGCTCTGCAATAGGGAGAAGAGACCGGAGGCCCATGATGGCTGACATTAACTCACAGGAGGAAAATTATACTCTTGATAGTTTGTTATTATGAGCAAGCTACTTACCCTCACTGCACCTCATTTTGCTCTCTGAAAAAAATGGGGTTAGAACCTGCCTTTTAGAGTTGTGGCGAGGATCAGACCCAGGTAAAGCACTAAAAAGATGTGCTTAATGACTGTGGCTGATGCTGGTGGCTGACCTTGCTGTCATCCCGGTGACAACGTGCAGACCGAGGAGACCAGGAGCTCAGAGAATTCCCATGCTTCTTTCCAGTGCTGCCCCAGGGACGGTCTGTAAGGCCTTACCTCTTTCTGCTCGCCTCACTCTCTCTAAAATGCAGACCAGAAAATTTGTTGGAATTTAATATAGAAAAACCAGATTTTAAACAATGTAATTCTTTAACAATATTACTAAAATAACTTTAGTCACTGACTCATTTTAACTTCCCAGTATAAAGGAAAATTCTAAATTTGAGACATTGTGGCTTCATTTTCTTTGAGGCCTTCTTTGTAAAAACTGCAACTATGGTCTTTAAATGAATAGTTTGTCTATTTATAAATTGAGTGTTATAGACCAATGAAGAGCAGTGCTGCTTAGGAAATATGGGAGTTTGTGATGCTCTTGTTAAGTATTTTAATAAGTATATCAATGATGTATCACTATTCACTCGACAAGTTAGACTTGATTTTTAAAGCTATAAAAAAGGAGTACTCATTTTCTTCATATCAAATAAATTTGCTTCTTTCTTTTTTCCATTGGCACCTGAGTTAGCATCTGTTGCCAATCTTTTTTTTTCTTCTTCTTCTTCTCCCTAAACCCCCCAGTACATAGTTGTATATTCTAGTTGGAGGTCCTTCTGGTTGTGCTGTGTGGGACGCGCTCTCAGCATGGCCTGATGAGTGGTGCTAGGTCCGCACCCCGGATCCAAACCAGAGAAACCCTGGGCTGCCGAAGCGGAGCGTGTGAACTCAACCACTCGGCCATGGGGCTCGCCCCTCTTTTTTCCATTTTCTTAAAACTATTCAGTTTTAACTTTCTTCTCCAATTCTGCTTTAAAATTTACCTTCCTTAAAAGTTCCACTTCTCTCTTGATTTTTCTTGTTCTCACCTAAGACTAAAGGTCAGATTACCCTTATTTTTTTTTGGCTAGCCCTATTATTACTTTTTAACATTTTTTTTTTTTTACTTGCTATCTAGACTATTTGAAGTCTTTTAATAGAAAAAGTATATGATAAAATTGTGCAATAGATATATGAGCTTCAAGTTCACTTTCTGGGAAACTCGATGTTTCTTATGATGCCTGTCGTTTTTGTATATAGGAATATAAAATATATAAAATAAAGTGAAAAGCCATATTGAATAAAAGAGCTGGGTTTATAACTACAAAAAAGTTTTGTTTCAGTGTTGGGTGGGTTTATGGAAGAGAAAGAGTAAAGCATCTGTCAGAAGCAATTTGTATGTAAATTAAAATGTAACTCATAAATATCATAAATTTATATTATGCTTAACATTTTCTGGTTTCATTTATTTTGTTATTGTGCTTTTCAAAATAACAATTTAGGGTGTTTGGAAAAACAATTAGAGAAACCGTGTAACCTGGATTAGAATGGGGAGAGATGATTTTTTTAAAGGAAAACAAAGGTGCGTTTTATATGAATTATTTCCGTTTCCCATGGCGAATCAAAACCTGGGCAGTGTGAGAGCACTGTCCCCTCAGGAATGAGAGCCTCGGGCCAGGAGTCCGGGTCCAACTCAGAGGTCTGAGTTTAGATCTGGAAAAAGAGTGGAGTGCAGTGGTTAGGGATGTAGCTACTTAATCATGCTGGGCCTCGGGTCCTTATCTGTAGAAGAGGAATGTAGTCACAGTGCCACCCATGGGGCTTTGTGGGTGATGGCACAAGCTGCTAGGACAGGGCTGCAACAGAGAGGGGGCACAGTACACATTAGCATCTCTGTCACCATCACGTCATCCTGGTTTTGCCTTAAAACTGGTGTCGAGTTTTGCCCAAACCTCTAACCCCTCTCTGTACTCTGAAGATTGTTATTAGTCAACACCCTTTCAGAGCGAAGGGGTGCAAACTTATATATCTGGGGTGGGAGGAATGACAGAAACCTAAGTAAGCTATTGACCGTATTCTTCCTCGAACGAATAACCACTCTTGATAAGTGAGTTAGCGATGTGTTGTTAGCAGACTTATGATTTGTAAAAATATAGTCAAAACTCTGACACTGGTGAGTCTAGGAGAGAAATGAGAAAGAGAAATACTTCTGGCATGTGAACTTGGAAAGTCAAGGCTAGTGCAAATACTGGTGATATTTAATCATGATGCTCAGCGTGTCTGTACCTTGCTAATGATGTTAAACCATGAAGCCTGTGAGATCTTGTGTTGCAGTGTGGTTTGGCCCTAGAACTCTTGCATGCTAACCCAAAGTAGAAGATTAGCCTGTTGCATGCAGCCGGATGCTGCCCCTGACGAGACAAGCATGTTGTGGAGGTTGACGCAACTCAACCTCCATTGGCTGAGTTCCTCCCCAGTCCTGTGTGTGGCCTCATTCACTGTGGTACGTGTATAATACCTCCATCTTCAGATTCACTAACCTGAATGCTCATCCTTCACTTAAGCAATTTGCTGAAAGGTGCGGTCCACGGATTCACCTCAACCTGTATCTTTCTGATTTCTTTAGATATTAGGTTGAAAAAGCTTGTTGATGAACGGGAATGCTTATTGGAACAGGTAACAATCTTTTTATTACTTTTATGAGTTCCCTAACTGGGCACCAGAAACCATGAACTTTCCCTTCCTTACTTCTTGCTTCATCGAGACACCCCTAACACATCATGCCT